TTCGCGACCGAGCGTCCTTCGCTCTAGGTCGCCTCCATTGTCTTCTAAACAGTCGTAGTAAATTGTCGCTTAGAAATAAGTTGAGAATTTACACGACTTGCATTCGTCCCATTTTCACGTATGCAGGCCCAGTGTTTGCACACATCGCCCCCTCCCACATCCATAGGTTACAAGTCCTCCAGAATANGAGAGACAGAGATAACAGTCATCAGCTCCACGCAGTGCAACTACCAGCGCGCTGTCGGAGAGTTCTTCTGTCACTCGCACACCATCTCCGACGCTTCGGACGTAAGTGGAGAGAGGGAGAGACGGAGAGAGAGAGAAAAAGAGGGAGAGAGACAAAAGATAGACTTTATAAGGTGACAGAAAGAGAAAGCAGAGTCATCAGCTCGTCGCAGAGTAACTACCAGCGCGCGGTAGGAGTGGCTGACGTAAGTAAAGAGAAAGAGACAAAACATAGGGAGAAACTTTATAGGGAGACAGACAGAGAGAAAAAAAAAAACTTTCTATAGCACACAACACAACTTCCAGCTTTTTGAAGGTCTTAGTGAGAGGCCACGAAAAAACACTTTAGTTGACGAAAACATACAAAATCAGCTCGACCTCTCCATCTTTGACGCCTTGGACGTAAGTGGAGAAAGAGAGAGACTAAAATTTAATAGACTTTATAAGGAGACAGACAAAGTAAGCAGAGTCATCCATCAGCTCGTCGCAGAGTAGGTAACTGCAGCGCGCGGTAGGAGTGGCTCTGACGTAAATAGAAAGAGAGACAAAAAATAGACTTTATAGGGAGACAGACAGAGAAAGCAGAGTCATCCATCAGCTCGTCGATCCATTTCCCGCAGAGCGCGCGGTATGAGTGGCTTTGACGTAAGTAGAAAGAGAGACAAAACATACACTTTATAAGGAGACAGACAGAGACAACAGTCATCAGCTCCACGCAGTGCAACTACCAGCGCGCGGTCGGAGAGTTCTTCAGCGGCGCGTGCGCACCGGGCGCGCTGCACCACTCGCACACCATCTCCGACGCCTCGGACGTAAGTGGAGAGAGGGAGAAGATAGACTTTATAGGGAGACAGACAGAGAGAGATAAAAGATAGACTTGATAAGGAGACAGACAGAGAGTCATCAGCGAGCATAGCCATCTCCATAGCACACTGTGCAGCTTTCAGCTTCTTGAAGGTCTTTAGTGAGAGGCCACGTAAGAAACTAGGGAGACAGACAGAGAAAGCAGAGTCATCAGTTCTACCCAGTACAACTACCAGCGGTGGGAGTGGCTCTGACGTAAGTGGAGAGGGACAAAAGATTGACTTGATAAGGAGACAGACAGAGACAACACAGTCATCAGCGAGCATAGCCCTTTCCATAGCACACTATTCAACTTCCAGCTTATAAAGAAGGCCCTTTAGTGTCAGCAACAATTATAATATCAGCTCGACGTCCATATCTGACGCTTCTGAAGTAAGTAGAGAGAGAACAAAAGATCGACTTTACAGGGAGACAGACAGAGAGAACACAGTCATCAGCGAGCATAGCCCTTTCCATAGCACACTGTTCAACTTCCAGCTTCTTTATAAGGCCTTTAGTGTCAGCAACAATATCAGCTCGACCTCCATATCTGACGCTTCTGATGTAAGTGGAGAGAGAGATAAAAGATAGACTTTATAAGGAGCCAGACAGAGACAACAGTCATCAGCTCCTCGCAGTGCAACTACCAGCGCGCGGTCGGAGAGTTCTTCAGCGGCGCGTGCGCACCGGGCGCGCTGCACCACTCGCACACCATCTCCGACGCCTCGGACGTAAGTGGAGAGAGAAATATACTTTATAGGGAGACAGACAGAGAGAGATAAAAGATAGACTTGATAAGGAGACAGACAGAGAGTCATCAGCGAGCATAGCCATCTCCATAGCACACTGTTCAACTTCCAGCTTCTTGAAGGTCTTTAGTGAGAGGCCACGTAAGAAACTAGGGAGACAGACTGAGAAAGCAGAGTCATCAGTTCTACCCAGTACAACTACCAGCGGTGGGAGTGGCTCTGACGTAAGTGGAAAGAGAGACAAAAGCTAGACTTAGTAAGGAGAGAGACAGAGACAACAGTCATCAGCTCCACGCAGTGCAACTACCAGCGCGCTGTCGGAGAGTTCTTCTGTCACTCGCACACCATCTCCGACGCTTCGGACGTAAGTGGAGAGAGGGAGAGAGGGAGATAGAGAGGGAGAGAGACAGAAGATAGACTTTATAGGGAGACAGACAGAGAGAACAAACATCAGCTCGTCGCATTGCAACTACCAGCGCGCGGTGGGAGTGGGTCTGACGACGGTAGAGAGAGAGAGAGACAGAACATAGACTTTATAGGGAGACATACAGAGAAAACAGTCATCACCCAGTGCAACTACCAGCGCGCGGTGGGAGTGGCTCTGAGGTAAGTGGAGAGAAAAAAAAAGATTTTATAAGGAGACAGACAGGGAAAGTAAAGTCATCAGTTACTACTCAGTGCAACTACAAGCTCAGTGCTGCTACCAGCGGTGGGAGTGGCTTTGACGTAAGTAGAAAGAGAGACAAAAAATATGCTCGCTACAGGGCAACTACAAGTACGCGGTGGGAATGGCTCTGACGTAAGTAGAAAGAGAGACAAAACATAGACTTTATGAGGAGACAGACAGAGACAACGGTCATCAGCTCCACTCAGTGCAACTACCAGCGCGCGGTCGGAGAGTTCTTCAGCGGCGCGTGCGCACCGGGCGCGCTCCACCACTCGCACACCATCTCCGACGCTTCGGACGTAAGTGGAGAGAGAAGATAGACTTTATAGGGAGACAGACAGAGAGAGATAAAAGATAGACTTTATAAGGAGGGAGACAGAGAGAACTCAATCATCAGCGAGCAAAGCCCTTTCCATAGCACACTGTTCAACTTCTAGCTTCTTTATAAGGCCTTTAGTGTAAGCAACAATATCAGCTCGACCTCCATATCTGATGCCTCGGACGTACCTAAGTGGAGAGGGACAAAAGATAGACTTGATAAGGAGACAGACATAACACAGTCATCAGCGAGCATAGCCCTTTCTATAGCACACAACACAACTTCCAGCTTTTTGAAGGTCTTAGTGAGAGGCCACGAAAAAACACTTTAGTTGACGAAAACAAACAAAATCAGCTCGACCTCCATCTTGTACGTAAGTAGAGAGAGAGAGAGAGACAAAAAATATGCTCTTTATTGAGACAGAGAGAGAGATAATAGACAACAGCTCGCCGCAGTGTAACTACCAGCGCGCGGTAGGAGTGGCTGACGTAAGTAAAGAGAAAGAGACAAAACATAGGGAGAAACTTTATAGGGAGACAGACAGAGAGAAAAAAAAATAACTTTCTATAGCACACAACACAACTTCCAGCTTTTTGAAGGTCTTAGTGAGAGGCCACGAAAAAACACTTTAGTTGACGAAAACATACAAAATCAGCTCGACCTCCATCTTTGACGCCTTGGACGTAAGTGGAGAAAGAGAGAGACTAAAATCTAATAGACTTTATAAGGAGACAGACAAAGTAAGCAGTCATCCATCAGCTCGTTGCAGAGTAGGTAACTGCCAGCGCGCGGTAGGAGTCGCTCTGACGCAAGTGGAGAAAGAGAGAGAGACAGAAATAGACTTTATAGGAAGACAGACAGAGACAACAGTCATCAGCTCGTCGCAGTGCAACTACCAGCGCGCGGTCGGAGAGTTCTTCAGCGGCGCGTGCGCACCGGGCGCGCTGCACCACTCGCACACCATCTCCGACGCCTCGGACGTAAGTGGAGAGAGAGAGAGAGGGAGAGAGAGAGAGAGAGAGAGAGAAATTGTTGTGTTCCGGCAGTTAGAGGTAAGATAGCCAGTTCCTCTGTGGTTGAGGATTCCGGGTGAAGCTCGCTTCCACCTTCGGCCTGATCATCACTTACCATCAGGTGAGATACAGGCCAAGAGCTTCCTCGTTGTGGATAAAAAAAATAGATTTTATAAGGAGACAGACAGGGAAAGTAAAGTCATCAGTGTCACAGTCATCAGTGGGAGTCGCTCTGACGTAAGTAGAAAGAGAGACAAAAAATGTGCTCTATGATGAGACAGAGAGAGAGTATAGACATCAGCTCGCTGCAGGGAAACTACAAGCGCGCGGTAGGAGTGGCTCTGAGGTCATCAGCGAGCATAACCCTTTCCATAGCACACTGTGCAACATTCAGTTTCTTAATAAGGTCTTTAATGACAGGCCACGAAAGAAATACTTTAGTTGATATCAGCTCGACCACAATCTCTGCGAGTTAAGTATAGAGAGAGACAGAACATGTACTTTATAAGGAGCCAGACAGAGACAACAGTCATCAGCTCGTCGCAGTGCAACTACCAGCGCGCGGTCGGAGAGTTCTTCAGCGGCGCGTGCGCACCGGGCGCGCTGCACCACTCGCACACCATCTCCGACGCTTCGGACGTAAGTGGAGAGAGGGAGAGAAAAATAGACTTTATAGGGAGACAGACAGAGAGAGACAAAAGATAGACTTGATAAGGAGATAGAGAGAACACAGTCATCAGCGAGCAAAGCCCTTTTCATAGCACACTGTTCAACTTCTAGCTTCTTTATAAGGCCTTTAGTGTCAGCAACAATATCAGCTCGACCTCCATATCTGATGCCTCGGATGTACCTAAGTGGAGAGAGAAATAGACTTTATAGGGAGACAGACAGAGAGAACACAGTCATCAGCGAGCATAGCATCTCCATCGCACACTGTGCAACTTTCAGCTTTTTGAAGGTCTTTAGTGAGAGGCCACGTAAGAAACTAGGGAGACAGACAGAAAAAGCAGAGTCATCAGCTCCACCCGGTGCAACTACCAGCGGTGGGAGTGGCTCTGACGTAAGTGGAAAGAGAGACAAAAGGTAGACTTAGGAAGGAGAGAGACAGAGACAACAGTCATCAGCTCCACGCAGTGCAACTACCAGCGCGCTGTCGGAGAGTTCTTCTGTCACTCGCACACCATCTCCGACGCTTCGGACGTAAGTGGAGAGAGGGAGAGAGAGAGAGAGGGAGAGAGAGAGGGAGAGAGAGAGAAAGAGGGAGAGAGACAAAAGATAGACTTTATAAGGTGACAGAAAGAGAAAGCAGAGTCATCAGCTCGTCGCAGAGTAACTACCAGCGCGCGGTAGGAGTGGCTGACGTAAGTAAAGAGAAAGAGACAAAACATAGGGAGAAACTTTATAGGGAGACAGACAGAGAGAAAAAAAAAACTTTCTATAGCACACAACACAACTTCCAGCTTTTTGAAGGTCTTAGTGAGAGGTCACGAAAAAACACTTTAGTTGACGAAAACATACAAAATCAGCTCGACCTCCATCTTTGACGCCTTGGACGTAAGTGGAGAAAGAGAGAGACTAAAATTTAATAGACTTTATAAGGAGACAGGGAAAGTAAAGTCATCAGTGTCACAGTCATCAGTGGGAGTCGCTCTGACGTAAGTAGAAAGAGAGACAAAAAATGTGCTCTATGATGAGACAGAGAGAGAGTATAGACATCAGCTCGCTGCAGGGAAACTACAAGCGCGCGGTATGAGTGGCTCTGAGGTCATTAACGAGCATAGCCCTTTCCATAGCACACTGTGCAACATTCAGCTTCTTAATAAGGTCTTTAATGACAGGCCACGAAAGAAATACTTTAGTTGATATCAGCTCGACCACAATCTCTACGAAGTAAGTATAGAGAGAGACAGAACATACACTTTATAAGGAGCCAGACAGAGACAACAGTCATCAGCTCGTCGCAGTGCAACTACCAGCGCGCGGTCGGAGAGTTCTTCAGCGGCGCGTGCGCACCGGGCGCGCTGCACCACTCGCACACCATCTCCGACGCCTCGGACGTAAGTGGAGAGAGACAGAAGATAGACTTTATAGGGAGACAGACAGAGAGAGACAAAAGATAGACTTGATAAGGAGACAGACAGAGAGTCATCAGCGAGCATAGCCATCTCCATAGCACACTGTGCAGCTTTCAGCTTCTTGAAGGTCTTTAGTGAGAGGCCACGTAAGAAACTTGGGAGACAGACAGAGAAAGCAGAGTCATCAGTTCTACCCAGTACAACTACCAGCGGTGGGAGTGGCTCTGACGTAAGTGGAAAGAGAGACAAAAGGTAGACTTAGTAAGGAGAGAGACAGAGATAACAGTCATCAGCTCCACCCAGTGCAACTACCATCGGTGGGAATGGTACGTCAGAGCCATAGTAGAGAGAGAGAGAGAGAGAGAAAACATAGGCTTTATAGGGAGACAGACAGAGACAACAGTCATCAGCTCGTCGCAGTGCAACTACCAGCGCGCGGTCGGAGAGTTCTTCACCGGCGCGTGCGCACCGGGCGCGCTGCACCACTCGCACACCATCTCCGACGCTTCGGACGTAAGTGGAGAGAGAAGATAGGCTTTATAGGGAAACAGACAGAGAGAGACAAAAGATAGACTTGATAAGGAGGGAGACAGAGAGAACTCAATTATCAGCGAGCAAAGCCCTTTCCATAGCACACTGTTCAACTTCTAGCTTCTTTATAAGGCCTTTAGTGTCAGCAACAATATCAGCTCGACCTCCATATCTGATGCCTCGGACGTACCTAAGTGGAGAGGGACAGAAGATAGGCTTTATAGGGAGACAGACAGAGAGAACACAGTCATCAGCGAGCATAGCCCTTTCCATAGCACACTGTTCAACTTCCAGCTTCTTTATAAGGCCTTTAGTGTCAGCAACAATATCAGCTCGACCTCCATATCTGACGCTTCTGATGTAAGTGGAGAGAGAGATAAAAGATAGACTTAGTAAGGAGAGAGACAGAGACAACAGTCATCAGCTCCACGCAGTGCAACTACCAGCGCGCGGTCGGAGAGTTCTTCAGCGGCGCGTGCGCACCGGGCGCGCTGCACCACTCGCACACCATCTCCGACGCCTCGGACGTAAGTGGAGAGAGAGAGAGAGAAATTGTTGTGTTCCGGCAGTTAGAGGTAAGATAGCCAGTTCCTCTGTGGTTGAGGATTCCGGGTGAAGCTCGCTTCCACCTTCGGCCTGATCGTCACTTACCATCAGGTGAGATACAGGCCAAGAGCTTCCTCGTTGTGGATAAAAAAAATAGATTTTATAAGGAGACAGACAGGGAAAGTAAAGTCATCAGTGTCACAGTCATCAGTGGGAGTCGCTCTGACGTAAGTAGAAAGAGAGACTAAAAAATATGCTCTATGATGAGATAGCGAGAGAGAACAGATATTTTTTTTTTTTTGGATGGACCTTACTTTTAGCCGTGAGCGGCTTTTTCAGCTTCATCGGACAATAGGTGAGCGCAGATGGCTCTCAACCTCAAGAATAGATATCAGCTTGCTACAGTGTAACTACCAGCACGTGGTAGGATTGGCTCTGAGGTAAAGTAGAGAGAGAGAGAGAGACAAAAGATAGACTTTATAAGGAGACAGACAAAGTAAGCAGAGTCATCCATCAGCTCGTTGCAGAGTAGGTAACTACCAGCGCGCGGTAGGAGTGGCTCTGACGTAAATAGAAAGAGAGACAAAAAATAGACTTTATAGGGAGACAGACAGAGAAAGCAGAGTCATCCATCAGCTCGTCGATCCATTTCCCGCAGAGCGCGCGGTATGAGTGGCTTTGACGTAAGTAGAAAGAGAGACAAAACATACACTTTATAAGGAGCCAGACAGAGACAACAGTCATCAGCTCCACGCAGTGCAACTACCAGCGCGCGGTCGGAGAGTTCTTCAGCGGCGCGTGCGCACCGGGCGCGCTGCACCACTCGCACACCATCTCCGACGCTTCTGACGTAAGTGGAGAGAGACAGAAGATAGACTTTATAGGGAAACAGACAGAGAGAACACAGTCATCAGCGAGCATAGCCCTTTCTACAGCACACAACACAACTTCCAGCTTCTTTATAAGGCCTTTAGTAAGAGGCCACGAAAGCACACTTTTAGCACCACTCGCACACCATCTCGGACGCCTCGGATGTAAGTTAAACAAGAATTTTCTCTTGACCTGATGGAAGGTGATGATCAGGCCGAAGGTGGAAGCGTGCTTCACCCGGAATCCTCAACCACAGAGGAACTTTAACACGTTTGTATGTAATTACGCATGGCTTTGAAACGTCACGTTATATCTGTCGCTGTACTGGTTACATAGCACCACTGGGTGCCCACGACACAGGTTATTCCTAGTGTGAACCCGCAGACAAAGCAATATAATGTTTACCGATTTAATTGTTACCAATTTGTAAGTATTTGAAGGTGTACTTATGCGTAAACGGTGAGTAAATAAAATATTTGTATATTATGAAAGTATTGTGTGTTATTGTGTGTCAAAACTGTCAAGGAAGAAACAGAACTAACTATTCTCACTTAAGTACCTCTCGTTCCCACTGCTGCACTGCAACTTGATACTTTTGGCGACCTGCTTTTGCTAAGTAAAGTCAGTCTTCAGACATAAACCCTATCGAATTCTTCTAGTGAAGATTTATTTCGGTCATTGAGGTAGACATACTAGATACAAATAAGAGTTTGTCCACTCAATAAAAATCTAATACTTAAGCGCTTTCCTATTGGCAGCATTAGGTACTGAAACTTATTAACTGACATTTTACTGTTAGGTTGGTGAAAAGAAACCAACTCGGCCATATTGCCACAAATCTAAAGAAAAGGGATGCCTCGTCAAACGTGGAAAGGTCAGTTTCCTTTACCACACAGTGGTTTTGTTTTTCAAATTTAAATTGTTTAGTCATGGAATATGAGGTACATGTGACACCCTGCAAAGGCATGGCAAAACATCAGAGAGGGTTAGCCTTCAATAGAATCTAAATTCTTTATTTAGCCTTGTGCGTGGCTATTCGTGCTATTGGTCTATCACAAAAATTAAGAATATCGCGCGCATCCTATTTCAAAAACCGGGATTAAACTTTTGTGTGGTTTTCTCTATATCCTAACATAATACTTACCTATTTAAGTACCTGAGTACCTATTTAATTACTCGTGTCTCTCTGCGTTTGCTAATTAATTATTGCGCCTAATAAACTAACTAAATACTGTGCGCAAACGATGAAAGGGAAATTGACGTTTCCTAGACCTGCTTCCTTCACGAGCAATTTCATAAAATAATCTTTCGTTTTTTCAGCAATTCGACGCCACGACCCTGTGTACGGCTTGCAGACCCAACCTCAGCGTACTCAACGGAACTGACGTTTCAAACTGTGAGTATAGTATCTAAAAGGTAAAAGTACAAGTTCGAATCCGACTGACTACACGCAGCAGCAGCAGACCACGCGTCTCATCCGCTTTGCAACGGAGGGAAGTCGAACCTTAACTTCGAACTCCTCCTATGTTCTTCTGATTAATTTCGTTGCGGGTCCAATGACAGTTTAACTTTCCCCCGGGACAAACTTGACCTTCACTGGTTGGGTTTTTATGGCGGTCAAGCTGTAGATCCTGGCTACACAGGAGTTGCAGCGGTGGGAACGAGAGGTGGGACTGGGTTTCTATTGTATTTATATGAAATACGAGTAGCTTCAACGCGTCTGTAGCGAACGCTACAGTAGTTTCCGTCGCGACGACATCGCGACACGTCGTCTACTGCTGTTGCTTGTAGTCAACTTCTGAGCTTCTATAGATCGTTTCATCCACGACGACGCGCCCCACCAATTTTTGGTCGAAGGAAGCGCGGGGTGCGGGGAGTTTGATCCGAGCAATCCGAGCGGCATTATTATGTACATTGTGTGCGTGGATAATTTAGCGTGTACCGATAACACTCAAACATTAGCTGAAGAATGGTGGGGCGCGTCTTCGTTGATGAAACGAGAAACGATCTATGACTTGTACCGTATTACCTACGAGATCGATGTTAAAAAATGTTGATAGGGAGTGAGGTACTTAAGTAATTGCATTTTTTTCTTCTTCCAGTCACCTGTGCCTTCAACTCCTCCAACCTGTTCTTCGGGAACCAAGGATCCGTCAGCTGCCTCGCCAGCGAGCACACAGATGTCGCTGTCGTCGAGTTGCAAAACATTGACGGTAAGCATGAAGAGAACCTTAGAAAAAAAAATAATTGGAAACATGAGACTGAGATGAGATTTACTATTTCAAGTATTTTCCTACATTACAAAGTTACTAAATGTTATCGTTCTGAGACGGCCAAAGCTTAGCAAATCGAATAGAACCGGCCTATGCCCATAAGCACAAACATTACTGTGAGGTCTCACAGTGCGCGTGCATGCACAGGGTGACACACGAACCAATCACAGAGCTCTATTCAACGCTGTGCGTTCGATTTTCTGCTTCACTTATGCAAGCATCGTTTGTAAATATGATCTGGTTACTCCAAGCATTACTCCAAGTACTTAACCATTAATCTTTACTCAATTTTTTAATGAATGATGCAAGTGGTTACTGGCAAAAACAAATGGCAAATACCTACCTAGAACCCAACAGTAATTTTCACTATATTATGTAGATGCGGTCGAAAACGTATCTTCTTTGTCGTATAAAACTGGCATTTAGAATCACAAAAACATGCTTAATTTCTGAAAAATGTTGCCTTTGAAAGAAAGAATGAAAAAGTCACATTTAAATTCTGTCACAGCACAACTGCGAGCTCTGAACATTGACGGCACGCGATTCCGCGCGTTGTGCTCCAACAACACCCTGGCGCTGTTCCCTGGTACCAACATCGATGATGGCTGCCTCATCGCGCACGTGGTTGACGCTGAAGTCCTCACGAGAAGGTAAGAAAGACTTAAGCACGAACGCATGCAGATCGCCATCGCCGGCGCGATCATAGGCCAATGACAGGTCGCGCGATCCATGACAGTCCACGCGTCCATGCCTATGGTGTGGTTGAAGCTTTACACCATAGCAGTCCTAGACCAAAAAGGAAGAAAGACTATCTTCAAGAGAATATCAGGACCTTTAAATGATGCCGTGGTCCTCACGAGAAGGTAGCTTGTATCTATTAAAAGGAACAGAAAGCACTTTAAATAAAATAAATAAACCTTTATTGTCACCATAACAAAAAAATACAACTTTAACACAGCTTAACAATTAAAAATAAGGTGACAAGGGCATCCGGCTCAGCGTAAGCTGTACGGCACTAGGTCCATGCAGCGCTGGTTTTCAGCCGGTGCCAGTCTCCTGCACAGTAATACAGCGTACATAGGTAGGTGCAGTGATATAAGACAGCAACGATGTTGGTACTTTAGAAGTACCAACATCGTTGCTGTCTTATCGCGCATGTGGTGGATGCCGAGGTCCTGACGAGAAGGTAAGAACACTACACCTTAGCCATGGGCGTACCCAGCTTCCGGTACGCCCATGATCATAACAGCCTTCCCTAGATCTGAAAGATAATATTCAGGAGACTACGTCTATAAGTAAGAATTATGACGCTAACATCCTGACAAGAAGGTAAGAACATCTTGTGTTAACAGGACCAGAAATAATCAGTCTTTAGAAGAATGGAGATAGACTTGGAATGTGGTTCTTGCGTAGACTTGTCTTAGATCTACTATTTTTCGAGACTTGATAGTGACACACGACCTTTATACTCAGGGTGGATGCTCACGAAACTCAGATTTCCAGGATCTACGATTTGTCTGAACCAAGGCAGAAGTCTGGACCGACGACCTCATAAAGGTAGCAGGAAGGCGTTGGACGCAGGCCGCTACCAACCGGGCAACATGGAAAGCACTGGGGGAGGCCTATGTTCAGCAGTGGACGTCCTATGGCTGAGATGATGATGATGATGATGATGAAGGCAGACACTTGATAAGTGGCATCCTCCTTTCTAGCGTTTGAGATATTGTGAAAAAACAATCACTATGGTTAAAAGACTGACTTGACTTCTCTATTATGTAAGACAACAGAAAACGGTAGAAAGATGTAGCGCCTTTGTTAGATGCCTAGAGCGACCGCTCACTCGTTCCGCCCCTCGGCTAGCTCTAATATCAATAGAATCTAATGGTTCCCAAATTCTTTTCAGAAACGACCCAATCTTCAACAGCATCAACGTCTTCTTGGACGCGATCGACGAGCATTTCGGCTACAACGCTGTCTCTGAACAACTCATCAACATGCACATCTACGATCCCTTCGACGGGACCAGCGACCTTCTGTTCAAGGACTCCACCGTAGGCTTGACAGAACCTAACGTGTTCGTCTCCCATCAACCGGCTAGGAACTACATCAACTTATTCACCCATTTGGAGGCGTGCACCAGTGCAGCGACCACACCCACTCCTGGAATTATTCCGGGGGTGAATGGTTTGGCCAATAGGAATATTATGTCAGTCATGACCATGGCAGTTATGGGACTGATGGCCAGATTCGTGGTGTATTAGCGAGTTTAGAGTATGACCAACAGCACATCAAGAAAGCAATGTGGCATCTTACGGCCGGTTCACACATATTGTCTCCGTTTTATCGTGTACGATTTTTTTCGTCGATGGCGTATGTAGTTGTATGAGCGACTTCACACATGACACAGTATTCTGTATACAGTAATACATACATCGACGAAAAAAAAACGTACACGATAAAACGGAACAGTAAAACGGAGACATGTGTGAACCGGCCGTTAAGTAGGTTGTATTTATAAGTCAAGCGCTTAAATCAGTGCCAGGAGGGTGTTTTTGAGACGTTAGCGAGACTTCAGATATGCTCTACTAGCTTTCCGCCCACGGCTTCGCTTCGCCCGCGTGGAATTTTGTCTGTCACAGAAAAACTTTATCGCGCGCGTCCCTGTTTCAAAAACCGGGATAAAAACTATCCTATGTCCTTTCCCGGGACTCGAACTGTCTCTATGCCAAATTTCATCAAAATCGGTTCAGTGGTTTAGGCGTGAAAGCGAGACAGACAGACAGAGTTATTTTCGCATTTATAATATTAGTATAGATTTGTACGCTTTGTCACGTCATATTATGTCAATGTCACTCCTCCCGTGCTGCTCCCATGCCTCAGTTACTGAGTTGAGCGCTAGTTGACCCATAGCTAGAGACCCATAGGTGCCATTTTGGAACAAAAATTTAAAGTATGATGTGCTGTCACTGTAGGTACACAAAATAACTAATTTCTGCAATGGATTCTATTTCTTCAGGCCCAAAGTCCATAATGGATTGATGCAATTTGACATTTGAGGTTGGTTAATATGGCCGCCAAATCGAAGTACCACAGATTATGTACCTTAGTGAACTTTCAACTTAATTTCTTAGTAAAACAGTCTAAATTGAGGAATTAGTTATTTTGTGATGGTATTACCATTAAAAATATGGCTATTTCTTTATTGCCATATCAAAAGACGTTTCTGTGTCTTTTTAGTTATTTCATTATGAATGTAAATGTTTTTCAGTCCAGTAGTAATTCAGGCAGGTTAAAAATATGTATTACACCGATAAAATAGTGAATGTACAAAATTAAGATAAAGAACAGTCAGTATCAATTAGTTCGTGATACCTAGTGACCAAAAAGTTGATACCACCTTATTCCAATGAGGCGATTGACAGTACCTTACTCTATAGTGGCGCCATCCTGATGAGTGCAAATGCGATAGTCCTCCTACCACTTTAGCGCTCACAAGTTGGCGCCACTGTCTTCGCTACTAGCAAGTGACAGGTCCTTACTCTACAGTGGCGCCAACTGGTGAGCGCTAAAACGATAGCCCTCATTGTAACAAAGACGTGTTGCGAACTTTTTGGCTACTTTGACTTGACTTAAGGTCCTATGTCCCATAGATGGGGCAGAGGGCGTTCACAACAGTCCTCCATCGCGTTCGGTCTTGAGCTTCGCGTTTGATCTCGCTCCAAATCTTGCCGATTTTCTTTTGGCTACTTTGGGTGTCACGAACTATTTGGCGCTGACTGTACTAATATGAAAATAATGTTGTACTAGAAGGCCTTTTAACATTTAAGTAATAATGAAGTATAATGGACATTAGTGTATAAGTATTGTGTGTATTTGTGCAGGTAACAGTAGAGCATAAAGTTAAAATTTATATTTTTGTGATTTTAATAAATAAATACAGTTTCGTAATTTGTCGTTTTATTTATTTGGATATTTCTGCAGTTATTTAAGGAATTTGAATGAAAAATTGAGAAAATTACGCAAAATGTTGGATAATGTCAGAGAACTTAACAACTAAAGCTTGGTCCGTGAGCACGTAGAATTTTGTCCAATGACCCCAAGCTACCCATCCTTATCGCTCGCGCGTAATTATGTTGCTGTCGCGCTCGCACACACTCACTGCGGGCGCCCGTCGCACAGTCGCGACAGCAATATAATTATGCGCGAGCGATAAGGTTAGGTAGCTTGGCGTCATTGGACAAAATTCTACGTGCTCCGCGACCAGACTTAGTGATTTTCAGCTAACTTTGCATTAAATAAATGAGAGAACTTGGTCGAAAACGATTTTCACGCGAAGTTGCGTGCACTGTTAAGTATACGTTTAGCGCTTAACTCCGTCAGCACCTGAGGTATGGTAGGGTGATTTTGTGACAATTAAACGTCAGCGAGACTTCAGATTGAAGCTCTGTTCCGTCATATTACGTCAATGTCAGGCTAAAAACTCACGGCGGTTGTGAAATGCGGTTTTATTTCAAAAGTCACGGGAGCGGTTATTTGCGCGGTTATTCTAAGAACTCACGTCACTGGTACAAAATGGTCGCCCGCATACAACCGCGCCCGCTGCGGGCGAAAACCGCGTCGTGAGTTGTGCATTAGTTTTTACATAAGTATCTGCATTCTACAGAAGCTGCGGGCCCGCAACCGCCGGTGAAAATCGCGCCATAAGTTCTTAGCCTCACCCTAAGCGCTAGACCTAGTCAGAAATAAATACAAAAACATAATTAGTTCATAAAGTTTATTCGTACAATATTTATAAAATGCAACACTATACCTAAGTAATAAGTTACAGTACAAATGTAAATAAAACCGACCTATTCCACGTCCTGCAATAACAATTATTGTAAATTCATATCATTTGCTGATTATTATAATTATAATGTGACGTTATTTAAAAAATACTAGGTTGGAAATTGCTTTCAATGGCAACATTCCATTCCCAAACTTTCATCTCAGCACGATCGATCACGTCGCGCAACCGTCACGTCACGGACACGTCGCGTAACTTTCACGCCACAGTCACGTCACGATCACTACGCATTACCACGGCATTACTATCGCAACACACGCCACGACGCGTAACTGTCGCGTCACGGTCACGTCATGTTCACGCCAGTTGTGTGCCAGACTATACAGGGTGTTAGGTAAATGGGTATATGAGTCGACACTAGCCCATGTTAACATCCCAACTAATATTATAAATGCGAAAGTAACTCTGTCTGTCTGTCTGTCTGTCTGTCTGTCTGTCTGTCTGTCTGTTACGCTTTCCCGCTTAAACCTCGCAACCGATTTTGATGAAATTTGGCATAGAGATAGTTTGAGTCCCGGGAAAGAACATAGGATAGTTTTTATCCCGGTTTTTGAAACAGGGACGCGCGCGATAAAGTTTTTCTGTGACAGACAAAATTCCACGCGGGCGAAGCCGCGGGCGGAAAGCTAGTAGGCATATAAATGGTATGGTGAAGTCAGAAATTTGATATCATCATTTTAATTTTTTTAATTTTCATACAAAATAAATTTTATAAAATCCGGTTTGTATGAAAATTAATATGATTAAAATGAAGATATCAATTTTCTGACTTCACCATACCATTTATATGCCCATGTTAACATGGGCTAGTGTCGGATCATATACCCATTTACCTAACACCCTGTATTTACATTATTTATAGTAATCGATCCGTATTGTTGAATAGGAACTATTCCTTAACTATCTTAGAATTCGAATGTAAAAACATTAATGAACACATTATTTGTGTAAAAATACAACACACCTTCATTGATAACACATGCGCCGGCGCATCAAGCCAAACACTGTCTTAGTATAGTTGTAATACGAGCTAGTTTGGTGCAAAAGTGTTGAGTTTGATGCGCTGTCGACTGTAGGTACACTGGTTGAATATAACTTTCGTCTCCAATATTCGAAGAAAAGATAAAAATAATATGTGTATAATATATGTTACAAGAGCGGTATCTTAGAAACAAATACCTACTCCTTCCTTCGTATTCTATCTACGAATACTCCAATTGTGTGACACGATTATTAAAAAGACGGTAGCTTGCTTTGAAAACCGCGAGGGTTTCCTTGATTGAGCTCACTAGTTGGCGCGTGACAACAAAGTTGCGTCGCACAGTCGCGACAGCAATATAATTACGCGCGAGCGATAAGGATAGGTAGCTTGGGGTCATTGGACAAAATTCTACGTGCACCGCGACCAGACTTAGTGATTTCCAGCCAATAACTAAAACAATTTAAAATAAATTTCAATCATTTTATTGGTTCCAAACCGTTCCATATACACACGTACTTGTACAAATTTCAAAAGTGTATTCACACCATTGCGGGGCGTCCGCAGGGCTTACATCATTCTTGTTTGTATACAAGAGAATAACCTGGTACATACAATATACATTTTACACGAACATTACCAATGACGTAACAGACGTATAGACAATATTTTTTGGGATTTTACACTTACCACCAACGCCCCGCGTACGACCCGTTACAGTGTGAATATACCTCTACCGGCGGCAGTGTTGCCACCATATTTCAAACTTTATGTAGATTGAACAAGCTTCAAAATGCATTATTTTGATTAAAAAAAAAACAACAGTGAATAAATGGGGGTAAACATTATTTTTTATTTCGACGTAGGCAGTAAAAAATTACAAATATCAATCACTGAAATATCTATTTGGCTATTATGCACCTTACGCCCCCACAAATAGAGCACATTCTACTACAGTGTAGTGTAATACGGGAGAACAGGAAAAATTGACCACACGTTTTAAAGGAAAATAATAAAATGCAAAAAAGAGTCCCAAGATCACACTAATATTATAAAAGCGAAAGTTTGTGAGTAGTTTGGAACCTCAAAATGGTTGATCTTTGAGATGGAATGGAGGTTCATGATATACATGTGTATAAGTGCCCTGAAAACGTGCTTAAGTAGTACTAATATAGGGTTTGAATTGGGTCTATTCCACTTCGATCACCCAAAGTAGACTCCAAGCGACAGTTTGGTGTCGTTTGATCACCCATGGATAAGATAGCCTGGGTGATCAAAGTGGATTCCAGTTAAATTATTATTTTACTTTCCTTTGATGACATAATTATAAATAAATCACACCTCCTCTGAATAGTCACATGTCCAATTTGTTTGTTGCGGTTTTTAGAAAATATCATGAATGTTACAAAACAAAATATGTAAGTACAACAATTGGACATGTGACTGACTATTCAGAGGGCAGAGGAGGTGGGATTTATTTAAAGGTGATCAAATGAAACTAAAATAATAATTTATTGTCACCCAGGTCATCTTATCCATGGGTGATCAAAGCCAGGTGATCAAAATGTAATAGACCAAAAGTTGAATGTAGATCGCAGAAAAGAAATAAGTAATAATAGGTACAATTTTCCCAGTTCTCCTTTAATTTCTTGACCAATGTCTATTTCCATACAACATCATTTGTTAATTCATATAGCATCTCAACCATCTTATAAAATTAAAAATGAGATTTCCTAAAACAAAACCATTTGCCTCTAACAATCTTAGTCTACCATTACCTAGTTGTATTTATATAAAAGTTATATAATAATTATATACACCTTAATCTAGTTTATAGCTATTACATTTCACTAGCGATTCCCTTCCTTGCGTTGATATAATTTAAATACATTAGTTTCGTCAAATTAGATATACGTTTTTGTTGGTATTGACTGTATTGGCTACAGCAGCTGTATGACGGATTGTACAACGCCCCTAGCGGATTCTTTCAAGAAATAGAATCTTCATAGATTTTTTTGCGAAGTTCACTAAGCTCCCTGAATGTGTGCATTGTGTAAGATTCAGGCTGTCGAGCTTCCGAAGAACTTAAGTCGCTCTTGGGATAGCTCATGAGATGCCACCGTGGGTCACGAGTTCACGAATTATGCTTGTGGGGTCACTATGGTCACACTGCCTTGTGATTACTTGCTGAGAGTCACTTTTAGACAGCTCTTCACCACCGTGGGTACCACAATCGTCACCGTGGGTCACGACTTATGCTTGTGGGGTCACTATGGTCACACTGCCTTGTGATTACTTGCTGAGAGTCACTCTTAGACAGCTCTTCACCACCGTGGGTACCACAATCGTCACCGTGGGTCACGACTTATGCTTGTGGGGTCACTATGGTCACACTGCCTTGTGATTACTTGCTGAGAGAGTCACTCTTAGACAGCTCTTCATCACCGTGGGTCACGACTTATGCTTGTGGGGTCACTATGGTCACACTGCCTTGTGATTACTTGCTGAGAGTCACTCTTAGACAGCTCTTCACCACCGTGGGTACCACAATCGTCACCGTGGGTCACGACTTATGCTTGTGGGGTCACTATGGTCACACTGCCTTGTGATTACTTGCTGAGAGTCACTCTTAGACAGCTCTTCACCACCGTGGGTACCACAATCGTCACCGTGGGTCACGACTTATGCTTGTGGGGTCACTATGGTCACACTGCCTTGTGATTACTTGCTGAGAGACACTCTTAGACAGCTCTTCACCACCGTGGGTACCACAATCGTCACCGTGGGTCACGACTTATGCTTGTGGGGTCACTATGGTCACACTGCCTTGTGATTACTTGCTGAGAGTCACTCTTAGACAGCTCTTCACCACCGTGGGTACCACAATCGTCACCGTGGGTCACGACTTATGCTTGTGGGGTCACTATGGTCACACTGCCTTGTGATTACTTGCTGAGAGTCACTCTTAGACAGCTCTTCACCACCGTGGGTACCACAATCGTCACCGTGGGTCACGACTTATGCTTGTGGGGTCACTATGGTCACACTGCCTTGTGATTACTTGCTGAGAGACACTCTTAGACAGCTCTTCACCACCGTGGGTACCACAATCGTCACCGTGGGTCACGACTTATGCTTGTGGGGTCACTAGGGTCATATTGCCCAGTGCCCTCGTTGCCTCCGTAAAATATCACTTGCTGTGAGTCACGCTGTGACAGTTTATTAGAAGTACGTCACTATAGGTCACAACCTTGGACGAATAAACCACTGGACGCGTAACGAGTGACGTTTTCGCCTTTACCCCGCTAGCACTTACCATGGCTAAATTAGCCATGGTAAATGTTGTCAGGTTGTCACTTTGTCAGTATGACGCCAGCTCTCGAAGAGTAAAAATATCACGAAAAATGGGTAAATGCGCCGTACTTTATTCCAAAAATTATTCCTGTCACACAAGAAATGTTTCTTATCACGCGTAAGTACATTTTAAATCTATTATAGTAGCTATTTTTTCGTAAAATAAATAAAATTTGATATGTAAACAAAATATGATTACGTCATTTTAAAAAGTACTCATTGTACATGTAAATGCTTAAAACATGTAGCATATTTAATTTGGTTGGATTATAGGTTTCATTCATTCATTCACATCTCATTTTTTATGACGTAAAGGGCTTGAAAAATGTCGATAAGTTTATCGATATACCAAACAAACTGAAACTGAAATTATTCAAATTAGCATCACTTGACTTCTTTCTGAATCTCAGACATTTAGACCTCATTATTCAGGAGGAAGCACAAGCACCCACTCTAAGACTTAAAGGAAACGATCTATGAAAGCAAAACAAGGAGACAGGATATTCCGCGATTCTGCACAAAACCCTAAAAGAAATACCCCTCATCAACAGGATAGGTACCCTGTGTACACATCTTCGACCAAAGATAATATCCAGCTTACAGCGGAAACGCGAAATTGCTCTGGAATCAATGAAGTTAGGATATACCGACGTCTTCAAAACTGAAATAAGTACTAGGAGGTCTTCTCGAATGACCTAAACATAAGAATATCAACAACATTAGATAAGAATTAAATATTCTCAGATAGTGCATCCGTACTGCAAGCGCTACAAAGCAATACATTGTCATAATGTTATCAAATTGTGTTTCATGAAATGTATAGAAATAGGCTATTGATGAAACTTTTGTCCGTGACGTGAGACAGATTATAACATTTGTTGAGACCAAAAGCTAGTTAGCAGTCGATCGTAACAGAATATTACTTGTTTATTGCTTTACGAATTTGATAATGATAACACAGCCAAAAAATATTTCACCTAGTTACCTACCTATATGAATAATTTGTAATATTATTTGTACCTATGATTTACCAATGGCATTATAATAAACACGATACAATAATTAATTATAGTCTTTCAATTAAAGAAACTTTCAATATTAAATCAATCCATAATTCATTTATCTCGTTAGGTTCATTCATTCATTTATTTACATAACTATCGATAAAAAATTACGATCTTTTCCCAGCACTAAATGTCATTATTTGACAATTGTCAAACCTCTCCCCCCGCAAAAAGTGGTTGATCGTGTTTCCTTAGAAATCTTGTAGGTTTCGTGTCCAGTGGTTTATTCGTCCAAGGTCACAACATAATATGCCGAGTGTCATATTTCAATGGGCATCGCAATTTTGTGCGTTTTGACAGCTCATCAGATGTCACCGTGGGTCACGACATAGATTGAGCGGGGTACCGGGGCACATTGCAAGGGGCATTGCTATTGCGACAAGGTGACAAGGCTGTTACGACAAGGTGGCATGGCTATTGCGACAAGGTGACAAGGTTGTTGCGACAAGGTGACAAGGCTATTGCGACAAGGTGACCAGGCTATTGCGACAAGGTGACCAGGCTATTGCGTGCGACAAGGTTATTGCGACAAGGTGGCACTGCTTAGTACACTTATTCCTCCTCCAAACATAATATGTTTCTTTTCTTTTCTATTTTTTATGTGCGTTTTTGTCTTTGTGTGATGTTCAATGCAATGTTTCTGTCTCTCTCTTGTTACTTCTCCTGTGTGTGTACCACCAGCGACTCACTCTCACTGGTGTATCGCGTGGTGTGGTGTTAGAACGGCGCCGCCTGCTGGCAACACTGATGTGATAACGGGTGCTGCGCTCGTCACAGAGCCCACTCCGCCCACGTTGCCGCCGCAGAATATCACTTGCTGTGGAAGGAATTACAAAAACTTAATAAAAAGAAAAATTAGCAAAAAACTTAAATCATTAGGTGCGTTTGGCAAAAAAACGCTTATAAGCAAAATGGCGATTGCTAAGGCAGTTTTCGGCGAGGACACGTTTATAGTTCCAAAATACTGAACTGTCCTGTGCATGACATTGACAGTGGGGCGCCACCGTCAATACCGGATCGCTGGTTCCGATTTTTGCCATGTTGGAAACCCTATAGTTGAACGATGGTAGCGCCCCCTGTCATTGAGTTTGGTGGGACAGTTCAGCGTGGGTCATCTATACTAACATTTGCTAACTTCAATAGTGACGTGTTTCATTCATTTTTTAGCAGTGACAGTGCTAACCGCTTAGCGATCGCCATTTTGATTATAAGCGCTTCCAAGTGCTATTTTCCGGCAAACGCATTCGTTGCCTTTCAGCTAGTCTGTTCGCCGAGAGTTGATAAAAAAAAATATCAGAGGTTCTAAACTCATAATAAATTGCGGCCCGCTAATTATTTTTGTCGATATAATGAAAAAGTTGGTAGATTATCATTATTATCTCTTTTAAATTTACGGGAATTATTCCGGTTAGGGTATACGTGGGGATACGGATCAAACACGTGGCGTCCATGTGTTGGATAAAAAGTATTTCATTATTATCAAGTGGCTTATAGTGTATCCCAATGTTGGGCAAAGCCCTACCCACTGTCATACCATTCATGTCGGTCTTATGTAAAATTTTAATAAAACTATTCCGTTTCACACATTGCGGCCCGCCGGGCGCTTGACGACAGCTGCGTGGCTCGTACCATGGTACTCAGTGCGCGTTGTGACAAACGACGCCCACCATACAGAATGCGATAATTAAGCGACAGTCGCTATTGCAAGACATTTCATAATATTTATCAACTCTCGGCGAACAGACTTTAAGCGGACTAATGTTTTGAATTACTAAGGCCCGATTCGACCACTTTTATCCAAGAATAATCCCTGGTATAACTGGCACATTGACAATTTCAGTTAGGGTGGATTTTCGACCAAACAAGAGTATTGTTATACTGGTTATCGTTATAGTTACGGTCAAAGTTAGGTAGTGAAACTCAGCCTTAGTTTTATCACAAACTTACCGGTGGCTGGCCGGGCGTCGCTAGTACATACTGCTGTTGTCTGACACCTCCTACCTGGCGGATAAACAACGCAATTAATAATCGTATGTGACGGATTAGTTCGTGATAGGGATGTTATGGATATGTACTTTCGGTTACGGTTACGGATTTTTTTATTTTATTTCGGGTATTGAAAGTTTCGGTTAAGGTTACTGTAATATCTGTGCTTTAGAATGCAATAATTGTTGTCCAACAATTATGGCCGCACACTTTACATCGAATAAAAAGTAACGAAAAAATAAAAATTGATACTAGATGGCATTATAAAGGTAAATCAGGCTGTTATACCTTTACATATAATGCTATACAAAAAACAATTTAAACTGCCTACATCCGAAACTATCCGAAACTTTTGAATCGGTTACGGTTTCGGATATTCTTTTATTTTGGATATCCGAAAGTTTCGGTTACGGTTACGGATATCCATAACATCCCTGGTTCGATCCCTTTCAAAAAACAAAAAACTGGAAACAAATAGTGGGATTTATCTGGCAGATAAGTTTCTGAAAGGCTATAAGGTCAGCAATTCGTCTAAGTCAAAGTCAGATCTAGTAGATAAGTTCCTGATTTTCTTGAAGTTGGCCCAAGTAGTAGTCTATCTGATAGATAAGTTGCTGATAAACTGTCTGTCCAAGACCTTATCAGCAGGTGGTAAAACAATTCCCCGGCTTGCAGTTGTATTTGAGAGATAAGTTCCAGATAGTTTATCAGGCACTTTATCAGCAAGTAGTCAGTGTTGCCAGCTCACCTGGTGTATCTGCTGCGGCTGCTGCTGTATCTGGCGGTGTTGCCCGTCTGTTTCCACTACCACTTGCTCCATGAATGTACTGTTGCCTGTGAAATATTAAAAAACGTTATAAGAACAAAAAAATGACTTTTAAAATGACAAATATTTTGTCAACAATGGACTTTTAGGTAGGACTTTAATGATTTTGAAACAACCAAAAAACATTTCTTTTTTCAGTATAAGCAGAGTAAATACAAATGAGTAGGTCATCTTCATAGAAACGTACCGAGCGCGGTTTGTATGTGAGCGCGCAAACAAACCGCGCTCGGTGAGTTTCTATGAAGATGACCTACTCATTTGTATTTACTCTGGTATAAGTTACCTATTTTAGTTTAAAGTTAAGTAAGTTTAAGTTATTTAATTTACCTGTGTTATTACTAGTGGTCGTGTTTGGGTTGTTCTCACACCCGAACAAACAGTGCTGCACCGTCCACCGAGGCTCGAAGGGTATGTGTGTTTTCACCTGGAAACGAAATATAAAAATTAAAATATAACATGAAATCAACATCAAAAACATTGGCGGAGGCCTATGTTCAGCAGTGGACGTCCTATGGCTGAAATGATGATGATGATGAATATGAAAGAAACATGGTTTACTTGGTTCTTACACAAGAAAAACGCAGAGAAATATACAGGTGAGGAGAAGGTCCACAACGTATGAAGAAAAACCCAGAATCGATTGGGATTATATGGGTGTCAGTAGATTCATTATAACCCACTTTACCGCACCGAAAGCTCAATGTGCCCTGCCTATTGCTACTTCAGCTTGCTAATCTGACAGGCTATGTCAGCGACTTTTAATTCGTTTACGGATCTCCTCATTTATTTATTTATTTAAGGCACAGCTACAAAGAACTTCCACTGAAGGCGCCGGATTCAGTAGCGTTATTCACGTAACAAAACTTCAAAGACAACAAATCGCTGAGTTGCGATCCTATCGAGTAATCGTTCTATCAAAATGAACTTTGTGAATACGGATTTAGAACTGTTTTTCAATGGGACGACTTCTGAACGTCAGCGAGATCTTGACTGTCAAAATACGTGAATTAGGCCTCAAGTCGCTTCTAACCGGTAAATCTGGAAATCATTGGGGGAGGCATATGGTCAGCAGTGGACGTCCTGTGGCTGAAATGATGATGCACTCGATTCTCGTCCATAGTTAATATTACTATGAGGATAATAGTGCTGGTTGCGTAATAGTATAAGTTAATGTTAAGCAGTTGTATTTGCAATATTGCGCAATTGTTTGTTATCCCAAATAAAATAAAATAAAATAGTTCACAGGGGGACTGTCGTGGACTGAAATGATGAGTGATGATATTGCAGATCAAGCGCCGCAAGAGGAACTGGATTGGCCACACTCTCCGAAGGGACCCCGATCACATCCCCAAGCAGGCCCTGGATTGGAACTCCCAAGGAAAACGCAAACGTGGCGTTTGGATTGGAACCCCAAGGAAACTTGGAAGCGCACTGTAGCAGACGAGGCGAAGAAAATCGGCAAGACTTGGAGCGAGATTTAACGCGAAGCTCAAGACCGAACGCCATGGAGGACTGTTGTGGACGCCCTCTGCCCCATCTAGGGGACATAGGACCATACGTCAAAGTCATGTACGTCATGATGATGATGATGATGATGATGACGTACCTTTAGCTCGGTGGTGAGCATTAGTATATGGCGGCAAGGCAACCGGAACACCTTGCTGAACAAGCAGGAGCATTCTTGCGTGGATGTGCCGTACATGCAGATTGCTTGACTGCTTTGCCTTCTGCGAAAAATTAAAATACATTTTATTGGACAAAATCAATCAAAATCAAAAATTTTTATTCAGTTTAGACCACAAGTGACACTTATAAACGTCAAAATATAATAAATAATAAAAAAAGAAAAGGTAGCCCTTATGGGGCACTTTACATGTCACCTTATCTTTTGGGGGCCCTACCAGCGCTTAGAGACAAACATAATATGTTAACATAATAATTATATGGAACATAACGCCGGAACAAACTCAGTCACTACTAATTGCCAGAAATTATCTAACGGTAAGAATAACCAAATTCGAGTACATCAAATATGTGCAGACTGAACTGACCACGCATCCTTGTCATCAATAATAGTCTTGAACCTTGTAGTACCCAAAAATGAGATTGCAAACAGACCGTCAGATTTTACGACATTCGATCTCGTCAATTCGACTTCATGACAGCTCAACCCTATGACAAGTCGACTCCTACGATTTTGTTTAAAATAAAGAAAAGGGAAGGGGAGAAGATCACAATCATAATATTAATTTTTATAGCTCATTTCATTGTCAATATAATTATTGTATGCAGTCCCCGCTTGCTGTATACCGAGTATCGACCAATGAAAAACGACGGTCGAGACAATGGCCAATACGAATTATTTGCACAAATGTTTGCAAATGACCTAGCACAAATAATTTAAGCATAATTACAACCTCACAAAGGTAGAAGGCGCTGTATTCAGGAAATCATTGGGGGAGGCCTATGTTCAGCAGTGGACGTCCTGTGGCTGACCGGCATTACATTATGCATTTGGTATTATGTCGTACCTTCCACTGCGGTCGTCCAAGCACTTCTGCGCCAACTTAGTCTGGTGGCTCATCAAGTTGTAAGCGTACTGCGTTATGGTGTCCGTCGGCGACTGCTTTAGGGTTTCTGTGTCCTGGAGATTGGAAAAGATATTGATTAAATAATAAGCTAAATATTCTTGCGTCATTTAGTACTAACTGGGCATACGTACAGGGTAGAAACGATAAGCATAGGCGCAGACCATCTATTTTTCGTCGGTCGATAGTTTAGTCGGGCAGTTGATCAGTATGGGCAATGGGCATGTATGGGAGTGCGCACATTGCACCGATTTGATTTGGTACATTCTTCATACATTTTAAAATTGGGGACAAAATCGGTGGTCTGCGCCTAGTCTTAGTGATCTCACTCGATTATTTCTAAATCTAAACTATACAAGATATCCAAAAACTGATTACTGTTCCTGAAAGTGCTTTATCTAACGCTATCAATAATAAGTTACAGGATAAACTGGATCGATTCGAAAATTCATTGTTTCCAGCCTTCGGTAGAGGAAGAGGTCTCCCGTGTCGCTGCCATACCTCAGGCCTATGAGAAGTTTTCTTACCCTCAGCCCACTGATGGCGAAGTTCCTTCTCTCTTCTAGAGATTGATACCAGATTTCACCATCAATCCTTAATTTTTTAAGTGACGCTTATGAAAACAAAATTCCTGCTATGTGTTACTATAGGGGTCACTTAAAAATTAGGGATTGATGGTGAAAAAGGGCATGAGATTGTAAGACGAAACTCGCGACTGCATGTGGACAGAATGTATGAACCTTCAGTACCTAAAGATCGCGCGATTCGAAGCTCGCGAGTAAAAACGCGTCATCTAGACAGTCACAGTCGCTAAAACGCGCGATAAAAACCGCGCAACAGATTGTCTAAAGTCCTGTCGCCGAGCAGATGGAATTTCGTCCAATGACCCCAAGCTACCCATCCTTATCGCTCGCGCGTAATTATATTGCTGTCGCGACTGTGCGACGGGCGCCCGCAGTGAGTGTGCGAGCGCCACAGCAATATAATTTGACGCGAGTGATAAGTATGGGTAGCTTGGGGTCACTGGACGAAATTCGATCTGCTCGGCGACAGGACTTTAGTATACCAACTAAGAATTTTGTGAGAATCTTACCCGCAGCCTGCTGATGGCGAAGTTCCTTCGTTCTTCTTCCAGCTGGTTGGCCACGTTAAAGAACACAGACACAAACTCGTCCGGCTGCATCTGGCTCCGGACTAGGTTCTGGAACTTGGTCACCAGCCTCTCCAGACCCTGGGAAAGATGGACACTTTTTAAAGTACTGCGAAGATCCTTTGCTCCCAACCCGCCTGGCCTTCTCATAAAGTTAACGCTCGTGGTTGTTGCTCTATTGAATAGAGTGTTTTTCAACCTTTTTCATGACGTAACCCCCCTAGTATGAAAAAAATTTTTGCTACCCCTCGACCGCTCGCTTTTTTTAAGCCTTTTACAAAGATGTTGTAGGGAACGAATTCTTCAATTTATACAACATTTATGCATTTGTATAATTAGATTTCGGATAAATCTAGCTTTTAAACTTCTTTGGTATTTTTACTGAGGTAGTTTTTACCACCTCTCGCGACCCGGAGGCTTCGCGACCCCCCAGTGGGTCACGACCCACAGGTTGAAAAACACAGCTCTATTCCAAAGGAATAACAACTTGATGGGACATCTAGACGGGTTTGATGCAGACCGTCCTATTCGAAAATGCGATCCTATCGAGTAATCGTTCTATCAAAATGACCCTTGTGAATACGGATTTACAACTGTTTTTCAATGGGACGACTTCTGAACGTCAGCGAGATCTTGACTGTCAAAATACGTGAATTAGGCCACCGAAGCCTTTGACCGTCAAAAAAACAGGTTTCCGTGCCGCTCCTATACGATAGGCACTCAGTTAATTCTAATCTCGTCTTATGTTCCCACTGAAAATCAGTGTCTTGGCAGTCACACTGTCAAGATATTACTGAGTGGGTGACCTTTTTTGGCAACTAAAGTCCGATTTTTAATTCGACGGAATTCAGACAGCTGTCATTTTTTGACAATTCAGATGTAATAAGCCTTTTTTGCTTTGAATTAATAATAAATAATATGAAATGAAATTTCATCAAGTACAACTTATAAGAATGAACTATTGTTTGTTTTATGAATTCAATGTACACTAATTATTATGTACATTTTAGAGATTAAATAGAAAAAAACTTGTTTTTAACACAGTAAAACAACATATTATCATAAATGAAAATATGTATTGATCATCAATCATCATTATCGTCATCATAATCAACTTGGATTATAAAATTGGCATCTTGTTAAATTGATTATTTTATGAAGCTAAGATTTTATTAACAAAATTATTTTCATAAAAAAGGTTTGTAACCCATGGATTATTGGCCAGGGAGTCCAGTAATTGAAAAATAATTTCCCAATTTTTTTTGTAACTTCGAAAATATGATAATAAAAATTCAAATAACCATTTTGAAATGATCAGTACATTTTTAAGACTTAGTTTTTCAAGTGAAACCTTATATTCAAGAAAGGATTATTTTTTAATTTGTGAAAATGCTCTCCCTTCTTAGTGGGAATGTTTCAATGTTGCCAACACTTCTGAAATGTCAAAATTCCGTCGAATTAAAAATCAGAGTTTAAGTAATATTTTTTTAATGTATGTCTTTGTTCCCTGAATCTGTTGTTGTCAAAATAAAATTATTTACTTTCTTTCTTTCTTTGTGATGTATGCCTTACCTTATGTAATATATTAGTGTAGTTGTCAGCTTCCAGCCACGCGTCTAATTTCGCTATGGCGCCAGTGTTAGGTCGGGTCAGTATTTCCCACAGTCGTAACGTCCCCGCACCGGTGCCGATTATGCCGCGTTTCAGGACCTGAAACAATATAATAGTTGTATTTGGGAGTCGGTAAGAACCTATCTGAAGTCGGATCTGAGACGTGGTCGCTTACTATCGGCCTCATAAGATGGCCCAAGGTCATCCAAAGGGCGATGGAGTCCCCTGCGTGATCGAATCAGAAATGAGGAGATCCGTAGGAGAACCAGAGTGACTGATATAGTACGCAGAATTGCTAAAATCGAGTGGCAGTGGGCGGGGCACATAGCTCGAAGAGCTGATGGCCGCTGGGGCAGGAAAGTTCTTGAGGGGAGACCACGAGCCGGAAGACGTAGCGTGGGCAGGCCTCCCACTAGATGGACCGACGATCGCGGAAGGCGCCTGGATGCGAGCGGCGCAGGACCGGTGTTTGTGGAAATCCTTGGGGGAGGCCTTTGTCCAGCAGTGGACGTCTTTCGGCTGAAACGAACGAACGAAGAACCTATAAGACTACGGTCTCCTATAAAACGCTATAAGCAGCGTACGACGTCAGTATCAAACGTTCCTATCGACGTCCATAGTCAACAATACGTCTTTCAACGTCGGGCCGCGCGTAGCGTGCAGTGGCCGAGTGTAGCGTGCAGTGGCTGAGTGTAGCGTGTAGTGGCTGAGTGTAGCGTGTAGTGGCTGAGTGTAGCGTGTAGTGGCTGAGTGTAGCTTGTAGTGACTGAGTGTAGGGTGTTGTGGCCAAGTGTAGCGTGTAATGGCCAAGTGTAGCAGCCGCATGTAGCTTGCAGTGACCTTGTGGCCGCGTGTAGCGTAAAGTGGCCGCAGTTTCCGAGTGTAGCGTACAATGACGGAGTGTAGCGTATAGTCATCTGCAGTTGCGCCGGCGCGTGTTCTCCCCTCAATAAAGCGAGAGCGTACGTCTTGCATCGAGCCGCGACGTCTGCTATCGCGGGCGCGGACGCTGAATGGCCAGTAGTAGTGTAGCGTTCAGTGGCCGCGTGTAGCGTTCATTGTCGTTTTATAGTGGTCGCGTGTAGCGTACAGTGGCCGCATATATTCACCTGAAGTTGTGTGGGCGCGTGTTCTCCCCTCAATAAAGCGAGCGCATACGTCTTGCATCGAGCCGCGACGTCTGCTATCGCAGGCGCCCCGTCGTTGCGTCACGTATAACGTACAGAGCTCACGTGTAACGTGCAGTTGCCGCGTGTAGCGTGCAGTGGCCGTGTGTAGCGTGCAGTGGCCTTGTATAATGTAGCGTGTAGTGGACGAGTGTAGCGTATATTTACCTGCAGTTGCGCCGGCGCGTGTTCTCCCCTCAATAAAGCGAGCGCATAAGTCTTGCATCGGGCCGCGACGTCTGCTATCGCAGGCGCCGTGTTGGGCCGAGTGTAGAGTGCAGAGGTCACGTGTAGCGTTCAGTGGCCGCGTGTAACGTTCAGTGGACGAGTGTAGCGCGCAGTGGCCGAGTGTAGCAGCCGCGTGTAGCTTGCAGTGACCTTGTATAGTGGCCGCGTGTAGCGTAAAGTGGCCGCAGTTTCCGAGTGTAGCGCACAGTGGCCGAGTGTAGCGTACAGTGGCCGCATATATTCACCTGAAGTTGTGCCGGCGCGTGTTCTCCCCTCAATAAAGCGAGCGCATACGTCTTGCATCGGGCGGCGACGTCTGCTATCGCGGGCGCCCCGTCATTGCGTCGTGTCGCGTCGACGCATAGCGCTGCGCACGCGACCGACGCTTGCCAGACGGAGCAGGTCACGTGGGCCGATGGGAATGCTGTGCGGACAGCCTGGAAGAGATAAATAGTGTTATCAAATATGGTAGTCATGTCGTTACTCTGGTACTCACTACAGTTAGGCCGCTTGTAAACATCCGTTTTTTTGACCGGACAACGGCCCGATTTTTTCACCGGATTTAGCGGTTGTGTATGGTTTATAATGAACGTGTGCACATGCATCGGACATAGGTCCGGCGAGAAAATTGACAGCAAACAAAGGATATCCGTTTTTTGACGGAACAACGGTCCGTCGTCGTCCGGTGAAAAAACGGATGTCTACAAACGGCCTTATAGCACATAACTTATGACCGTATTCACAAACGATGCCTGCTTAAGTGATGCAGCAAATCGAACGCACATCGTTTGTGTGTCACTGTGCGTCCACGCGCACTGTGAGACCTCATAGTAATGTTTGTGAATACGGCTGTTAGTGCCTTAGAGGAGTCGCACGGGAGGGACGTCAAAGTCGTCAAACGTCAGCGAGACTTCAGATTTGCTTCAGTTTTATTATGTTCTGTCATGTCATAATACACCAATGTCACTTCTCGTGCCGCTAATATACCTCTGGCACTGATTGAGTTAAGACCTGTATAACCAACGTTAACTCACTTCATTAGCAAGCTGAAGTGGCACGTAGAATTTTGTCCAATGACCCCAAGCTACCCATCCTTATCGCTCGCGCGTAATTATATTGCTGTCGCGACTGTGCGACGGGCGGAGTCTTGGATGGGTAGCTTGGGGTCATTGGACAAAATTCTACGTGCTCGTGGACCAGACTATACAAAAAGTTACTATGTCACCATCTAGCTCGCTCGGGAATCCATTGAAAGAAAGAAAGAAAGAAGAATGGGGTTATTAGTTCCCATTTTTGCTATAGACGTTTCAGAATCGTTCAACAGCGTTAGCTTACCTGTTGACATTTAGTAGGGTCGCAGACGACACATCTCACGTGTCTCCAGGCCGGGTTGCAGGACTTGAACGTGTCTAGCAGCCACGTGAGATCGTAGTCTATGAGCGTTGATTTTTGATAGCTCACTATAGTCTGGTCTGCGAGCACGTAGAATTTTGACCAATGACCCTAAGCTACCCATCCTTATCGCTCGCGCGTAATTATGTTGCTGTCGCGCTCGCACACTCACTGCGGGCGCCCGTCGCACAGTCGTGACAGTAATATAATTACGCGCAAGCGATAAGGATGGTAGCTTGGGGTCATTGGACAAAATTCTACGTGTTCACAGACCGGGCTTTAGTTCTGATTTTTGCTATTTGACGTTTCAGAATCGCCCAACTACAGCGTTAACTCACCTGTTGGCATTTAGTAGGGTCGCAGACAACACATCTCACGTGTCTCCAGGCCGGGTTGCAGGATTTAAACGTGTCTAACAGCCACGTGAGATCATCATCTATGAGCGTTGATATGCCTGGAAATTGATTACAGTTAAACCGGTTGTCTGTTTAACTTATACAATAACCCATATCAAGAATGGTATGTCCCAGGCACCAAGCTATGGCGCCTGGAATAGTAATTTTTTTTCTGTTTTGAAAATAAGCAAAATAAAGTATTTGTTTAATATTAAGTTAGCGAATATTCGTTTTATAGTAGCGGAGTATTAAGCCTAGGCGCAGACCACCGACTTTTAGTTGGCCGATAGTTGGACCCGATTTTAATTTAAACTAGCTTTCCGCCCGCGGCTTCGCCCGCGTGGTTTGTTATTCCAAGTCTGATTCGTTTTTGTTATACCACGTTTTATAGTGACTGACGTTTCATGTCAAGTCACACGGGAATGCTGTCGAACGGGATAAAAAGTATCCTATGTCCTTCTCCTGGCTCTAAACTACCTCCCTGACAATTTTCAGCTAAATCGGTTCAGCCGTTCTTGAGTTATAAGTGGAGTAACTAACACGACTTTCTTTTATTATATAGATGAATAGAATAGAATTTCTTTATTGCGGTAAATGTGGTACAAAGTAGTGATAAACAATGAATGTCCGTTTCACACATCTAACCAACGACAATTGGCATGCAACATACAGTGAAACAGAAAGCACACAATTATGTCCAAATAAATAAGTCTCTAAGACTATAAAAATTCAACTAAAATAATTAATAAATTAATTAAGAATAGAACTATACCAAATCGGTGTAATGTGCGCACTTTCATACATGTCTATACTAGAATAGAATAGAATAGAAAGTAAGTATTTATTTGTCTCAAAACAGGTTTCATTTACAGTTTTTCACAGATACAAAAAATCATAAGAGACAAAAAGGTCTATGACTCAGTGATTGCAGGAGACCCACAAACCCTGTTATTCTGCCATAGCCAAGATATACATAAGTAAATAAATATTAATTTATAGGTACTTAAAATTACAATTTCCTAAAATTACAAATTGCTATGTGAACTTATAATTAGCCAGTGCCAGAGATTGCTCTTGAAGCAGCCAGTTGCGACATCTTTTGCGGAAGGTCGGTAGCGTAAGATCCAATGCGGCGCGAACCGGTGGTGGCAGGTCATTCCAAATTTTTGCAGCGGCAAATCTAAAGCAGCCCCCTAGCACTAGCCAATTTTATTTTTGGTATAAGTAGCTGATGCCCCCTGTATACTGATTAACAGTCCGACTCAACTATTGGCCGACAAAAAGTAGTTGGTCTACGTCTAGGCTAACTAAACAGTCGTGCTCTTGCAATGCAGACTAAAGATCATAGCAGACTTATCAACTCGGAAAGGGATCAACAACGTATCACCTTTCGCGCGCTAACAACCGACAGGCAAGGCGTTTACGTTACGGTGCGAATAAGTGTGCGTTGCTTGGAGTTTCATACTAAGAATACTGACCGCCTCGAGTTGATACGGTTACGATCCCTTTCCGTGTTGATAAGTGTGCTACGTGCTTTAATGACCAGCGGGTGTAGTGCGAGTTTACATCAAATGTATTCGATATCGAGTGCGTAAAAATGTATGACGGATCAAAATCAAATCAAAATAAAAAATCAAAAATATTTATTCGTAAAAATAATATATTAAATAATAAAAAAGAAAAGGTAGCCCTTATGGGGCACTTTACATGTCTCCTTATCTTTTGGGCCCTACCAGATTGACCATACCGGATTGTACAGCGCCCCTAGCGGATAATTTGAAAGACTAAAATCTTCATAGATTTTTTGACGCACTCGATATCGAATACATTTGATGTAAACTCACACTAAGGCCCAGAATACACGGTGAAACGCAATTGCGACGAAACTGCAACTTCTAGTTACTTTTGAGTTGCATCTAATTTTGTACTCAATCTAAGTTGTAGACCACACATGACGCGACCAGTTTGAAACCGGTTTGAAATGGTCGCGTCATGTGTGGTGGTTTCTCAACGGAATCTATGGCAGAAACTTAGATGCAACTCAAACTAACTAGAAGTTGCAGTTTCGTTGCAATTGCGTTTCACCGTGTGTTCTGGGCCTAAGCTCCCTGATGATGATGATGATGATCAACTTACCAGCGCTGACAATGACCGACTTGCCGTTCCCATCTTCAGCTAAGAACAGAGTGACGTAGTGCTTGACGCTTGGACTGCCCGCGCCGCCTACCGTCGGGATCGCGCTGTTGAACTCTATGCCTGGAGCAATAAGGTACAGTTTAGTAAAGCTTGGAGTGTTATAATTAAGAGGCTGCGCTGACGTATGCAGTTTTCTTTACCGATATGGTATAAAATCACAAGAAACAGTCGTTTTAAGGTGTCAAATGGAAGCAACTGGACACAAAAAATGTCTGATGTTTGCGCGAGACACGGCAGAAATTATATGAACAAAAATATCACTGGTGACTGTTATAGGTGTACCGCTTACCTCACTCAGTGCCTAAAGCATGGGAGCGTACTATGCCTTTGCCTACTAAAGGAAAGAAAAAACTCACCGGTTTTTTTTTAAACTAAAGACTGGGCTGTATAGGATTTATGCCTTTGCCTAAATCTGTTAAGGAACGATAAAAAAAAACTCACCAGTGTTATGGCGCAAGTACACTGCGAGAAAATGGCCAAGACGCGTAGACGTAATAGTGTGAACACCGTCTCGGTTACTTTTTCCTCTCTCCTCGCGTGTGTCGCTCATACTTCGGTGTGCGAGCTAGCGCTTCGACTGAGACAATTTGCAGCATAGTGTACTTGCGCCATTATAAAAACTGAAGACTGGGCTGTATGGCATATTATGCCCTTGCCTTTTTCTAATAAAAAAATCATCAAAAATCCTGTTGAAATAAGGGGCTGTTTAGCTACCGGTCTCCATCATTGGTTTAAGGTGTCATCCTCTTCAGAGTAAATTCCTGTCGAAATAGGGAACTCTTTAGCTCTAAAACCCACCGGTCTCTATGCACAGGAACTGAGGTACCGCGTTGAAGGCCAGCTGCATGCTGGGCGTGGTCAGGTACACGCACTGGATGCAGCCCGACTGGAGGCATGGCTGTATGATGTATGCCTTTGCCTATTCTTACAAAAGGATTTTAAAAAAAACCTAACGCGTCACTTAAAAAGGACTTGGCTGTATGGGATATTATGCCCTTGCCATAATCTGCTAAGGAGAGAAAATTAAAAATTCACTAGCCTTTGAAAAAAAATGAAGACTGAGCTGTATGGGATATTATGCACTTGCCATAATCTGCCAAGGAGAGAAAAGAAAAAAAAGTCACCAGCATTTTGAAACTGAAGGCCTGGCTGTATGGTATGCCTTTGCCTGCTAAAAGGAAGAATAGAAAAAAAAACTTACCATAATATTTACAAGAAAACTTGGCTGTATGGCGTATGCTTTTGCTACAAAAGAAAAAAAAATGAAAGACCTCCGCGTGACTTCCAAATTGAAGACAGCCCCCCTAGACAAAACGCACTTTTTGATCGAATCGAAAATCGAATCCGTCAAAACTCCATACAAAAAAGGGGCTTTTCGACCACTTTTCGACTGGTTTGCGATTATAATTTGCACTTTGTCTAGACCCACTGGGCTGTATGAAATATTATGCCCTTGCCTAAGGAGAGAAAAGAAAAAACTCACCAGTGTTAGGGCGCAAGTACACTGCGGGACGTAATAGTGTGAACACCGTCTCGGTTACTTTTTCCTTCCTCCCCGCGTGCGTCACTCATACTTCGGTGTGCATGCTAGTGCTTCGACTTGGACAATTTGCAGCATAGTGTACTTGCGCCATTATAAAAACTGAAGACTGGGCTGTATGGCATATTATGTCCTTGCCTTTTTCTAATAAAAAAATCATCAAAAATCCTGTTGAAATAAGGGGCTGTTTAGCTACCGGTCTCCATCATTGNTGTCATTGTTTTAGGGTGTCATCCTCTTCAGCGTAAATTCCTTTAGAATTAGGGGGCTCTTTAGCCCCAAAACCCACCGGTCTCTATGCACAGGAACTGAGGGACCGCGTTGAAGGCCAGCTGCATGCTGGGCGTGGTCAGGTACACGCACTGGATGCAGCCCGACTGGAGGCTTGGCTGTATGATGCATGCCTTTGCCTATTCTTACGAAAGGATTTAAAAAAAAACCTAACGCGTCACTTAAAAAGGACTTGGCTGTATGGGATATTATGCCCTTGCCATAATCTGCTAAGGAGAGAAAATTAAAAATTCACTAGCCTTTGAAAAAAAATGAAGACTGAGCTGTATGGGATATTATGCACTTGCCATAATCTGCCAAGGAGAGAAAAGAAAAAAAAGTCACCAGCATTTTGAAACTGAGGGCCTAGCTGTATGGTATTTATGCCTTTGCCTGCTAAAAGGAAGAATAGAAAAAAAACTTACCATAATATTTACAAGAAAACTTGGCTGTATGGCGTAAGCTTTTGCTACAAAAGAAAAAAAAATGAAAAACCTCCGCTTGACTTCCAAATTGAAGACTGGGCCGCATGAAATATTATGCCCTTGCCTAAGGAGAGAAAAGAAAAAACTCACCAGTGTTTAGGGCGCAAGTACACTGCGGGACGTAATAGTGTGAACACCGTCTCGGTTACTTTTTCCTCTCTCCTCGCGTGTGTCGCTCATACTTCGGTGTTCATGCTAGTGCTTCGACTTGGACAATTTGCAGCATAGTGTACTTCCGCCATTATAAAAACTGAAGACTGGGCTGTATAGCATATTATGCCCATGCCTTTTCCTAATAAAAAAAAAACTCCCCGGTCATTCTAAAATCCTGTTGAAATAGTTGGCTGTTTAGCTACCGGTCTCTGTCATTGGTTTAGGGTGTCATCCTCTTCAGCGTAAATTCCTGTTGAAATAGGGGGCTCTTTAGCTCTAAAACCCACCGGTCTCTATGCACAGGAACTGAGGCACCGCGTTGAAGGCCAGCTGCATGCTGGGCGTGGTCAGGTACACGCACTGGATGCAGCCCGACTGGAGGCTTGGCTGTATGGTGTATGCCTTTGCCTATTCTTACAAAAGGATTAAAAAAAAACCTAACGCGTCACTTAAAAAGGACTTGGCTGCATGGTGTATGCTTTTGCCTTTTTCTAAAAAAAAAAAACTCCCGTGTCACTTGCAAACCGAAGATTGGGCTGTATGAAATATTATGCCCTTGCCTAAGGAGAGAAAAGAAAAAACTCACCAGTGTTAGGGCGCAAGTACACTGCGGGACGTAATAGTGTGAACACCATCTTGGTTACTTTTTCCTTCCTCCCCGCGTGCGTCGCTCATACTTCGGTGTGCATGCTAGTGCTTCGACTTGGACAATTTGCAGCATAGTGTACTTGCGCCATTATAAAAACTGAAGACTGGGCTGTATGGCATATTATGCCCTTGCCTTTTCCTAATAAAAAAATCATCAAAAATCCTGTTGAAATAAGGGGCTGTTTAGCTACCGGTGTCTGTCATTGGTTTAGGTCATCCTCTTCAGGGTAAATTCCTGTTGAAATAGGGGACTCTTTAGCTCTAAAACCCACCGGTCTCTATGCACAGGAACTGAGGCACCGCGTTGAAGGCCAGCTGCATGCTGGGCGTGGTCAGATACACACATTGGATGCAGCCCGACGCAGAATGCAGGAGCTTCACGCCCGCGTCTGAAATACAAAGATATAAGTGAAATGTCAGTGTCTGAGGCCGCGTTCCCACTATGCCGGACCGGCCGATTTGCCGGAAACCGGACGCTGGACAGAGTTTTCACGTTACACCGGATCCCGCAAGAAAATAAGTCACTTAACAAGTCATAGTCATAAATGTTTATTGCAAACTCGTTCACACTGCTCCGATCCGGTGGTTCTGCCGGAACTTCGCAGTGACACAACCCTCGGCTAAAATGCCGGATCCGGGATAATGTGAATAGCTTCATATAAATTGTACAGCAACTAGCCCTTCCGGGAGTTTTACCGGTCCGGCGTAGTGGGAACCGGGCCTTACTCATCACGAAATCTCTGAAACTACAAGTGCTAGGAGTCTCAAATATTGCATGGGTTCCTTTTAGAACATAGGTGCTCACTAAAGGTAAGTCGCAGCGTCGACGCTGCTACGTTTTCTATATACTTTTTACTAGCTTTTGCCCGCGGCTTCACCCGCGTGAAATTTCGTTTGTCACAGATCGTCATAAATTATAGCCTCTATGTTATTCTTGGTTATAAACAATAATACTGTAAAGTTTCATCAAAATCCGTTCAGTAGTTTTTGCGTGAAAGAGTAACAAACGGCCAGACATTCAGACATCCAAACTTTCACATTTATAATATTAGTAGGATAGGACGACGAGACGCAGGGCAACGGACTAATGGGGTCTCAACCTAAGACGGGATTTTGCAAAATTCTACCCCAAAGGGCGTAATAACCGGGGTTAGAAGTTTATATGGAAGTTTTCACGCGTACAAAGTCGCGAGCGACCGCTAGTAATTGATAGATATGATTTTTTGACGATTTTTACGATATAAATAAAGATATTTTTGATTTTGATAATAAATGTTGTGGATAAAAAAAAATATAAATTCATCACTATGATTAGCAGTCGACTGCTAGACAGACATAGGCCTCCACAGTACTACAATATTTTGAATTATAAAAAAAAATAACCAATTTCTCGTTGTCTTTGGCATGTGGCATCCTTCCAGCTACCTGTCGAAGCTTTCGTAAGTGGAAATCAGGATTAATTTTGAGCATCAAACTCACCATAATTAAGCTGCAGCTTCCTCACAACGAAGTCGTACTTCTGGTTGAGCCAGCGCACAGCGAACGCTCCTATCGCGACCAACTGCTCCTCTGTAGTTATCACTTGGGGATCCGTTGTTCTGCTGTAATAGAAAATAGAAATAAAGAAAAACTTTGACTTTTTGTATGGAGACGTGTTTTTTTTTTATAATTTACTCCATCATGTAATCAGTCAGAACACTATAAGCAGATTTTTTGTGATTAAAAGCAATGAGCGCAGAATCCCCACTGGGAGTCCCTCCATGATTAATTCTGGCTCTCCATGTCCAGAAAGTGAAGACAAGTTTAAAAACGCACTACAAATTGTCATTGGCTTTCGGCCTTATAAATGTATTATGTCCGGGTTCGATTCCCAGTGGGGGCATATTTTTCTGTTCGGTTAGGTTGGTGGTACAGCCTGTTATAAGTCCGCATGGCTAGCTACCACCATCTTACTGTCTGTCATAACAACAATGTTAACAGCATTGTTGTGTTCCGGCAGTTGAAAGTAAGATAGCCAATTCCTCTGTGGTTGAGGATCCCGGGTGAACACTTTCCACAGGTACGATGCAGGCCATGATTTTCCTTGTTGTGGTTAAAAAGAAACCTGCTCAGTCAGTACGGAGTTAAATGCAAAGGCAAAAAGCAAGGCAAAGCAAGCTGAGGTAAGGGAGCACAGGAGGGTGTTTTTAAAACGTTATACGTCAGTGTAAGGCCTCAGCCTCGAACTTAGCGGGCAGCGGGGCGGCGGCGGCGGCGGCGGCGCGGTAGCGGGGCGGGCAACGCAGACCCGTTCTCGAAACCAGCGGGCAGCTCGCGCGGCGCTTTAGCGGCGAAGTGTTGTGTTCGGGGTTGTGTTGTCGAGATATTTGTTTTTATTCGCGAACGAAATGTCTGAACAACGGTGACAATTTTATTTCGATTTAAATTTATTCCTTACGCTGACTTCCTTACGTGAAAAATACAAAGAATATTTTGTAAATAATCGCATCAGTTACTAATTAATATGTGTAACATAATAAACAGTTGACATAATAAATCATTTTTATATTTACCTTCAATATTAAGTTCGTTTTTTATTTCTTCCCATAATTGGTTAATCACTCTTCTATGTTTATGGTTTACATCTTTGCTGTTCCATATAGGTCTCAAAGATTGCTGAAATTATTCGCTCTTACTCGTCCGAGGACATTTTGACACACGTAACAAAACAATTGGACAGCACTACCCTAGAATGCAGACGCGCGTTGCGCAGCGCGAGCGGTCGCCGCTAGACTGGAGTGCGTGCGCCGCCCGCTCGTTGCCCGCTCCCGCGCCGCTGTTTTCGAGAACCGATCTATTTGATTTTACGCATAAGATCCTGCCGCTTCCGCCCCGCGGCCGCTCCCGCGCCGCTGCCCGCTAAGTTCGAGGCTGAGGCCTAAGACTTCAGACTTGTATGCTCTGTCACGTCATTATGTCAATGTCACCCCTCCCGTGTCTCTCCTATACCTCAGGTACTAAGTTAAGCGCTACTTGACTTATGGTCCACAACAGTCCTCCATCGCGTTCGGTCTTGAGCTTCGTGTTTGATCTCGCTCCAAGTCTTGGCGATTTTCTTCGCCTCGTTAGTTAAGCGCTAGAACTAGTTCGTTCGTTTCAGCCAAATTATGTCCACTAAAGCCTCCCCCAAGGTTTTCCACAATGAAGGATCCTGCGCTGCCCGCATCCAGGCTCTTCCCGCGACCTCGTCGTCGACCGTCGGTCCACCTAGTAGGAGGCCTGCCCACGCTAGTATAGTAAATCAGTTTCACAGCGTACCTTTCCGTAGCCTCCGGGTTCTCGATGATGGCCACTTCATACTCCTGCTGCCCCTGGGTGCCGCTGATCTCATACTGCTGGTATGTGTTCGTCTGCTCTTCCACTTGTTGCTGGAAGAGACAGACAGATTAGACCTTGGAGGATATCATCATCATCATTCAGCCACAGGACGTCCACTGCTTAAGCCACGATAGCCGAACGGTGAAGGGGTCGGACTGGTCGACTCGCGATCCGGGGAACGCGGGTTCGGTCCCCGCCGGCTCGACTATTGTGGTGATTGTGGCTCGCTCATGATACAAACATATTTAGCTTAGTGCGAGGGGCTAACGGGACTATTAGTAATTTGTGTAATAACAAATAATTACTTAAAAAAAAATGCTGCACATAAGCTTCACCCAATAATTTCCATATCGCCCGGTTGGTAGTTTGGTAGTGGCTTGCATCCAGGACCTTCCTGCTTATGAGGTCATCAGTCTTTCTGTTACCACTATATACACTGAGTACTACAGTATATGTAGTTATTCAGTGTTTCTTTACGAGGTTGAAACAAAAATGAGGAGAACCGTAAATGAACTGTCGCTGTCATAGCCCGACGGATTAGCAAGCTGATGTGGCAATGGGCAGTCCACATAGTTCGCAGAACTGACGACCGATGGGGCAGCAAGGTTGTGGAGTGGAGGCCGCGTACCGGAAAACGCAGCGTTCGACGTCCACCCACAAGGTGGACCGACGACATCATCGTAAAGGTAGCAGGAAGGCGCTGGACGCAGGCCGCTACTAACCGGGCAACATGGAAAGCATTGGGGGAGGCCTATGTTCAGCAGTGGACGTCCTATGGCTGAGATGATGATGATGATGAGGTTGGTGCAACAGCCTTACTATGGATAGGTGGCAAATACTTACATTAGTATTAACCTCTGTAGTGTTCTGGACGAACGTAGCACTCTCTTCTTCCGGCTCCCCTTTCACGTCGTATATGGTCTCAGCCATGACAATCCGACCCGACTGGTCCATCGTCCACATGCCTCCGAAGGCAAAGTTGGACGGGTTACCGCTTTGTTCGTACAGTATTACTGTGTTCGGGCCTGGAATTCGAGATGCCATAGTCAGTTTATGTGTACTGTTTGTAAGGCCGATGTATAGGGAATATGCATGATTTTTTGATATCTTGATGAGTCTTGTCATTATTTTTATTTAATTTTAAGTAAAAAAATTACATACACAATCATAACATAACCTCATTTTAGAAGGTTAGTATGTAGTATGTATTGTCAGATCTAATGCTTTTCTTGTTTAAAATTCTCTAGAAAAAGTTTTTTTTTAATGGCCTCACTGGACTTAGTTGAAGAACACTGGTTTCTCTAATTGTAATCTTATGAAATCACACTCATCAGTTAATTGCATGCAATGTTTAAAGTACTCCTATATCTTTCTTATTTATAGTTTGATCCCAGTAGATATTTCTTTTAAAGATTGCATAAGCTTTAAGTAGATATATTATCTTGTAAAAACTATGCATGCATGCATATTCCCTATTCCATGCATTCAACCCCCTTACTGAAAAAAGTTATGTGCATGTAAAGCCCGGTCGCCGAGCACGTAGAATTTCGTCCAATGACCCCAAGCTACCCATCCTTATCGCTCGCGCGTAATTATATTGCTGTCGCGCTCGTACACTAACTGCGGCCGCCCGTCGCACAGTCGCGATGAGTCGCTAAGGATGGGTAGCTTGGGGTCATTGGACGAAATTCTACGTGTTCGGCGACCGGACTATAGAAGAGTAGTTTTAAAGGACATTTCCATAATGAATGTCACTTTAAAGTTAAACTAGGTTTTAACACAAGTTCACATAGTAAATGTAACTTTTAATAGTAAGGGGTAATACTTTGAAGTTCGCTGATGCAGGCATTCCTCTATCAAGGTTTATGGTCTCTCTCTATGATTATGAACTTTCAAGATGCTGAAAGTGATTAAAATGCATAATAATGATGATTTTTTTTATTTTACACCTGTAAAACCTATTGGGTGACTAAATGATAGGCTCGTATAATGGATGACGTAATCCTCATCTTGTTGTCTCCGCATTATTTACATTATTACCCATATCAAAGCCGATAAAATTATTTTGTTCGTGTTTATTGGCTTATAGTTTCAATGAAAGTCAACCATCTCAGATAATTTTGTGACTAATTATAGTCTTTTTTCAAATTGGCCAATTGGAACTAAGCAGCGTCTAATCTAGCTAAAGCCTGGTCCGTGAGCACGTAGAATTTTGTCCAATGACCCCAAGCTACCCATCCTTATCGCTCGCGCGTAATTATATTGCTGTCGCGACTGTGCGACTGCCACCCGCAATGAGTGTGCGAGCGCGATAGCAACATAATTACGCGCGAGCGATAAGGATGGGTAGCTTGGGGTCATTGGACAAAATTCTACGTGCTCACGGACCAGACTATAGTTGACGTTACAATTCGTTATATTCGATAGTTAGTATTTGCAGTAAATACTATTTATATGCTTAGTTTGATTATTTTGAGATTGTATACTTTCATTTTAATTTATAAACCACAGATTGCATTGAGCAGTAGGCAGAATGCTTTTTGCCCTTGCCTGCTCCTCGCAGAACATTAAAAAGAAAAGGAAGCCCAAACCAATAAGGCATTCGGTAAGCCAAGTATTTTCGTAATTAATGAAGCAGTTAGTGCTATTGTTAGTGATAAATGTGAAAAGCGCTTTGTTTTAGTGGACCCATGAAGCAAAAGCTTGTCTCAGTAGACTTTAAATCAGCGTTAAAACAAGTTATTTTATGACTAAATTATGACCCAAAAAACCATAAAACAGGGTCCTAAGAGCAGGTTATGAGTTCTAAATCGCGTTTTTTAACACTATGTTTACAAAATACTGACCTAATTGAACTGGCTCCCCTTTCATGTTGACAAACACTGGCTGTTCAAAGTTACCTTCGACCAGTTGTCCTGTGTGCACTATCTGCTGTCCCTGGTCCACAGGCACCTCCACAACTTGGTTCACTACCTCCACCTTCTCTTTATCACCCTCAGTCTTCGGCCTGTTTACCATGATTTTTGCTTTCTTCTCCGACTCCGCTGGTTCATCACTTTTCCGCTTTATAACCACTTTCTTCTTGTTTTTCTTGTCCATTTTTACACTTTACACCTTCGAATACCACTAGAACGCGCGAATAATGCGTAAAGACGCGTTTTTGTACAAATAATCAGCAGGAAATACGCCTCGCCCAAAATAAGGCATTGTCCCAGTTTTCTAATGTATTCTACATATATTTTTAACGAAACTTAGTTTGATGAATGTGTTCTAACTTTCTACAATACTTGCGAACAAACTTGCAGGTTAAAATACGCGAAAATCTAATCAGTTTGAAGAAATTTTGAAATTATGCTTGCGCGAAAAGGACAACTCAGAAAGACGCCATTTTTGTTCGTGCAAATCTCTTTCTCTTTCTAGCGTGTATTTCCGTTTCACTCTAGCAACTATTTCCCTCCTTTTTCTGTACATTTTCGTTCAGAAATTAGATCGAAGATAAGTGTTTTTTTTATAAACGAAAATGTCAAAACATGAATTTTTTATGGCAGCATGTGAAAGTCAATGAAACGTTAAAATAAGCGAGTCAAATACATAACCTTGGTGTAATCAACAAACTGCATTTTTTTGTATCATTATTTACTCTGACGTATTTAATTAGTCATATTCATGCTTATTTTGAATACACTTTCCATTCTACTTCAAGTGGCATTCATAGTGTGCATGACCTTAGTGTCTATGAACATTCTTCGATATTTTACTGGACCTCTTCGAAAAATGTCTGTGATCGCTCCAGCGCTGTTCGTGAACCACGGTGGGGGACCTTTACCACTTCTCGGGGACAAGGACCATGCAGAACTCACGAAACATTTGCGTGACGATGTGAAAAAGTACCTAGATTTGTCTACCACAAAGGCCATCATTCTTGTTACTGCCCATTGGGAAGAAGAGAGTGTGACTATATCTTCAGGTAAAAAACACAGTTTATACTTCGATTATTACGGTTTCCCAGCCGAATCGTACAAATACAAGTACGATGCTCCTGGTGACCCACACTTAGCTGCTCGTATTCAAGCAGCGTTACAAAAATCCAACATAAAGTCCAAACTTGATCCAGTTAGAGGCTGGGACCATGGAGTTTTCGTTCCTATGATGCTTATAAACCCTTCGGCAGACATTCCTATAATACAAGTGTCCGTACTGAGCAGCCAGGATCCTGAAGAACATTATAAATTGGGGGAAGTCTTATATCAGTTCCGGAAAGAAGGCGTGGCTGTGATGGGTTCCGGTATGTCTTACCATAACATGAGAGAATTTATGTACGGACGCCACGGGAAAGTTGTGAACGAAGAGTTCGATCAGTATTTGTATAAAGTTTGTACAGCCGAGGATGAGGTGAAGAGAAAAGAGGGACTTATATCGTGGCGTGATCAACCTGGAGCGACTCATCCGGTGCAAGCTGCGGAACATTTCATGCCGTTGATCGTAGTGGCAGGGGCGGGTGGGCCTAAAGCTGGTACGAGGGTCTTTAAGTGGGATATGAGCAATTCGTTCAGGTTGAGTGGTTACGTCTGGAAGGAATAGGTAGGATTTTAAGACACTATTCACAAATAGCTTTAAGATGTATTATTATGCAGAAACGTTGAAGTACATTTAAAAATATTATTTGCATTCTATTAATTTTTTACAAACGTTTTGGTGTTTATGACATGTTGATACCATAAATTAGAGAATCGAATTGTTAGACTAATTGAGAAATAAACGTCCAACTATACTCACAAACGCACCAGTAAGATAATGTTTATTTATTTATTAGGTATATCAACAGCTTACTGATTTATTAATAACTTAATACTATGGAAAGCCAATGTTATTTAAATAGAACCGAAAAATCGTTTGTGTTTGAGTCACACCTTTTTGTGTAACACTGTTGTCTGTTACCCATTGGTAAAAAAATACCGATTTGTAACACTGTTACTCAATGCCACATTTTTTTCCCATTGAGTGACAGTGTTTGTTTCATGAAATGCCGAAGGCAAATTAGCTTCTTGTTCAATTGATATTTCGACTATGATTGTTGCAATAGGGTGACCATCATAAAACACATGTTGGACAATACAATGGGTAAATTAGCCACACAGCAGTTTTCTGTTGGAGGAGTTTTTGATTGTTTTAAACTTTCATGGTCACTAACATTAGAATAATTATTTTTTAAGGGAAAATAATTATTCAAATTTTGTTATGGAAAATCTTATGTGAATTATGGTAACTATTATAATTTATTCATGGTGTTGAATCATACAATGAATTGCAACAAGGTTGTGGGTTTTCCTCACATTAATCATTTATCTATGTATTGTTGTTGTTTAAGAGTTGGTTAGTAATAAGGGATAAATAAATTATTTTTACATTGCCATGAAAATTGCTTTTTATTTACCAGTATTTAATTTTCTTAGACTAGGCGCAGACCACCCATTTTTAGTTGACCGATAGTTGTTGTGCCCGATTTTAAATTGTATGAAGAATCAGCCAAATGAAATCAGTGTAATGTGCGCACTTCCATACATACCCCTACTGATCAACTGCCCGACTAAACTATCGGCCGACGAAAAATCGATGGTCTGCACCTAAGCTTGAGGTCAGCCCCCCTAACAAGTTGCAAAATGTGACAGTTTTTATGTCAAAAGCTGGTCGAAAAGAAGGCCCTTTTCGATTTTCGATTCGATCAAATGCCACTCGTTAGACCAATGGTTTCTTTAAAATTAAGCATCTTCCATCATCATTATTTCAGCCACCAGACATCCACTGCCGAACATAGGCCTCCACCAATGATTTCCACATCGCTGGGTTGGTTGGTAGCGGCCTGCATCCAGCGTCTTCCTGCTACCTTTATGAGGTCGATGATACAGTATCTTTTGTAAGTAATTTTAATAAAATATAAGATGTTTAACAAAATAATTCCTGTCCCTTTCTAAATTTTTATTGTTCTACTCGTATCTTAGGTACAAAGGAGAAATAATAAACATAATCGGTATAAAAGTATTTAATATTTTTAGAAATCACTTGTATGAACACTATACCGACTTAATATTTGAAAGACTAAATTTTATTTTTTAAGAAAAATTGAGCAAATATTCAAAACTCTTTGTTTTTATTCATTGCGCACACCTTTGTTTTTCGTCGGCCGATAGTTTAGTCGGGCTGTTGATCAGTAGATATGGGCATGTTGGGAGTGCGCACACTACGCCCAGTGCCGTATTATCCATAAGGCACTTTAGGCCAGTGCCTAGGGGCCCACTATGACCAGGGGCCCAGCACTCCCGATAAAAACATGAAAAAAAAATGTTAAAGATTATTTTTATTCAACAATACTTAAACCACCTCAAAACTTCGCCTTATTTTGGTTTACACATTCAATCGTCATATTTCGATATTGTGGAACCTAATTCAATTTCGTAACGTTGGCATTACTGCTTTGGTTTACATGACAGGTCGACCGTCGACGCCCTTCAGAGGCTAAAAAGCCTCACTGTGGAGGCTAGGGAGAGGGGTGAGGGTGTGTTGGGTGTATCATTGGATAAAGTCAACGCTTTAAATACCATCCCTCATTCCAACATACTCTAGGCACTTAAACATCACAGAGTGCCTCAGTACCTTCGAGCGCTGCTGGCCGATGACTTACGGGACCGCGAAGTCCTGTATGTTAACAGAGACGGCCAGCTCAAACGGCGCGACGTAGCCAGCGGGGTTCCGCAGGGTTCGGTGCTCGGTCCACTCTTGTGGAACCTAGGCTTCAACTGGCTCCTCCGGGGCGTCCTTCTCGCGGGCATGAGTGTCATATGCTATGCGGATGACACTCTGGTCACTGCCTGGGGGAAGACATTTAGGGCCGCGGCATGGCTGGCGTCGGCGGGCGGCACATTAGTCGCTTGCAGAATACGACGCCTCGGCCTGAAAGTCTGGAGAAGACTGAGGCCCTCTTCTTTCCGGGGCCTCGCCAGCGCACCCCTCCCGATGCCCACATTGTAGTTGAGGACGTTAGGATTGACGTCAGATGCCAGATGAAATATCTGGGCCTCACGCTTGACGGGAGGTGGCATTTTAGCCTGCACTTCAACGGGCTAGCGCCACGCCTCCTCAAGGCAGCTGGCGGACTGAGTTCTGGCTCCTCCCGAATTTGGGAGGGCCACAAACGAGGTGTCGTCGACTTTATGCCGGCATTCTGAGGAGCATGGCGCTGTATGGCGCCCCAATCTGGGCGGAAGGAGGCGCAGGCCCCAGCGCAGAAAGTCGCAAGGACCTACCGCACCTGGCGTACTTTTGTCTGTCAACTATCACTGGATGGCAGACCAGAAGGCGCGTGGAAAGCGCCCGGCCCCGGAGCGGCGCGGCGCCGTCAGACAGGAAGCGCGCGAGATCATGATCGACCGCTGGAAGGAAGACATGACTCGTGCGCAGTTTGGCCGCCGCACTCTGGACGCCATTGGTCCCGTTCTGGACCAATTGTTGGAACGGCTGCACGGGTTCCTCACGTTCCGTCTGGCGCAGGTGCTGACCGGGCATGGCTGCAATCCCCGCTGTGCCACAAATGCGGCGCGGCGGATGACACGGTGCACCACACCCTTGCGGTCTGCACAGGCTGTGAGGAGCAGCGCCGTTTCCTCACTGCGGTCGTGGGCCGGGATCTTTCGCTTCCGAGCCTGGTCAACGCCATGCTGGGAAGTGAAGGATGCTGGATGGCGGTCGCCTTCTTTCGCGAAGAGGTCATCCTTCAGAAGGAGGCAGCGGAGCGCGAGCGGGAGAACGATCCTCTCGCGTCATCGCACCGCAGGCGGAGAAGGGGTAGAGAAGGCGGTTGTACGACCGTTCTACTGCAGGTGGCGGCCAGCAGGCCGGGGGTGCGGGGGCACCCTTGTCACCTCCGTCTGACGGGAACGGCTTAGCGTTTCGGGCATTCCCGTCAGACTCCCTCAAGGGGGGCGTGTAGGGTCCACCGTGTAGGCGAGCTGTCGCCGGTGGTGTCGCGGAAGTCTAAGGCTACGGCCGGATACTCGCGACACCCCCACTTGGGCGATGACGGAACGCCGCTGAGGTTTTAGTGGGTATACCCCGTCCTTTTCAGGACGGAGCAGCACCCTTTTAGGGCGCCGGGAGTCCCACACACCACCTTGTCCCCCGGTAGTGGTGACGGTGCGCAAATCATTTCCTCCGCGACAGATAAAGGGGGGCCCGAAGCGAGCTGTGCCTAGGGGCCCCGAGATGGTTAATCCGGCCCTGACTACGCCGATTCGATTTGACCGATTCTTCATAGGTACAATTTGAAATCGAGCACAACTATCGGCCAACTAAAAATCAACGGTGTGCGCCTACTCTTAATTTTATTACATTATTTTAAAACTAAGAATTATTAAACTAATAACACTGGCCGTTGACGTAAAGATTTCACCCAATACACTATCGTACAATCCGATTGAGCAAACTGCGCACCTCGCTGAATGCGACTCTCCTAGCACACACCTGGGCCCCGATTGCGCTAATTTGTAATGTCTCCAATTAATCATCTCTAGTCCACACTCCAGTAACACTTCATTTTCATTCCAGCTGATGTGCAATTTGGTATCGCGGTAAAAGTTCGCGCAAACAAAGACAAAACAACGGATTTATGCACTTTCCGTTAAAATTCCGAACACCTTATTTTTTAAACTAAAATGCATTATTATGTTCGTGAAGCGTTTGAGAGAAAGTAGCTTTCTGTCTGATTTACGAAAAGGAGCAGTTGCGCTTCGTTTACGTTTCAACCTCATTTCAACTAGCAAACTTATCGAAACAGCTGATTATCGTTCGTCGTCCAGTCGCGTTGCAGTAAAAATTTTATTAGCATAATCGGGGCGCAAGACTTGTAGCCAACTTGTGCCTTATGAAATAATGGACCAACGTTGGTACGAGCTTTGGCGGCAACGTGGATAAAGAAAACTGGCGTTAACCTAAATGTATTCTTTGATAAAATTCTCATGGCGCGAGATCTGTGTGAAGGTGGTGAGCCAGTTAACATTGCACAGGTGGTCGTCATCGGGAGCGGTGGAGACGATTCCTCTAAGGTAGTACCGGATCGTCCCCTTATCGGAATCAGGGAAGGCGAGCCCGCCGCCGCTGTCCCCTTTGCATAACGACGTCCCTAAAAATGGAACAAATTATAACGTATTAAGGCATCATCATAAAGGTATAGTCTGGTCTGTGAGCACGTAGAATTATGTCCAATGACCCCAAGCTACCCATCCTTATCGCTCGCGCGTAATTATGTTGCTGTTGCGCTCGCACACTCACTGCAGGCGCCCGTCGCACAGTCGCGACAGCAATATAATTACGCGCGAGCGATAAGGATGGGTAGCTTGGGGTCATTGGACAGAATTCTACGTGCTCATAGACCGTGCTTTAGTGAAGAAGTTAGATGTAAACTCATACTAAGCCCTCTGTTTACTCACCATTTTCATAACCAGCGCAGATTTTGTCTCCAGTTATATACGCCCTGAAGTCTGGAGGGGCCTTCGATTGGCACTCACTGATGGAGATGTAGGGCAGGTGCACCACCTTGAGGAATGGAGACTCTGGTTCATCGGCGCCGGTTAAGCCCCAGCCAGCCACCTAAAATTGTTGACGTTTATAATGAGGGCATAGTCCCACGGAGACAATCCTTTTTTTTTCAGGATATTAGGTAGCTACGTCTTTAATATTAACGTTCACACGAACATCCTGTTTAAAAATCTAATCCGCTCGAATTTGCAATTAGAATTTCGCTAGAAACATATCCCAGCTCTCGTTCCCACCGCTGCAACTCCTGTGTAGCCAGGATCGACAGCTTGACCGCCAATAACCCAACCAATGAAGGTCAAGTTTGTCCCGGGGGAAAATTAAACTGTCATTGGACCCGAGTCGACTTCCCTTCATTGCAAAGCTGATTACAGTCTATATTAAAACGTAGGCATACAAATCTGAAGGTCTGAAGTCTCGCTGACATTTGACCGTCACAAAATCACAGTCCTCAGGCAATGACTGAGATAAGCGCCTAATGAAGCCACAATAAAAAGTATTTCGTACCTTTCCTAAACTCTGTTCTTTCAGCTGTCGCTTCTCAAACAGCACGCCGAAATCGACGCACACCGGCCGAACTAAATTGGAGTAGGTTATTGTAGTTTGTAATAAGAGTATAGCGATGTCGTCCTGATAGTTGGTGGCTCCACCAAGAAAGTGAGGAGGCATTTTTATGTCCGCAACCTGCAAAGAAAATAGTATTTAAATAAGGCTCGGTTTCTACCAAAGCGGAGCGGAGAGAAGATTTTTGAATAGCTAATCAGATTCCACATCTCTACTCTGGGAGCATTCAAGTACCTATTAAGTACGTAACGCAATTTGGGGGGTCCCCCC